TTAACTCCAAGTGTGACCCCATTTTAAAGACAGCAGGGAGAAAATTATCAGCAGTCAGTTCTACAGCCATGGAGTGTCTTTTGAGTTTTGTGTGAGGCTTCAAGGTGATCCCAGTAAGGGCAGAAAGACCCTCCAGAAGAACTTCTCTATTGATGTCAGGCATGGTTCACTTCAATCTATCTCAGACTGAGAACCAGGGGTAGGGCGACCTCGTTTTTTCTGCCGAGAAGTCAAGGAAGTGATTTGAGAACACGCGAAGCGACTCAGCGGCACACAGTCCTTTACTTTCACTTTTACAATAAACTCAAACACAGTGTGAGTTTAAAGACTACAGCGTTTGATATTAAAGTCATAAAACACCTTTAATGAATTTGATGAGTTTGGGTGGCACTCAGTGGTTTTATCCTGCTTTTATATATTGATAGTTCATATCAGTAAAGTCTGGAGTCTCATCCTGTGCATAAAAGATACACATTGCCATTTACAGCACTTATTTAATCATGAGGTCGCGTGTATTTCAGTGCAAAATATTTTCCTAAACATATAAAATCCTCCTGTGAAGAAGCAGCAGGGTTTGTGGGTAGTAAATGAACGAAGGAGAAAGTAGTTCCACTTCCGTAGTGACTGATTACAGCTGAGTTTTTGGAGTTGGAGAGAAACTGCATTCAGAAAATGACTGTTCATGTTTTTAAAGACTTTGACACGTAAAATCTCCACAATGTCAGACTTTAAACAGTGTTTATTTGTGTCCAGCTGGGCTTAAACGAACCATGTAGGTGCCATTTCTACACTGTAGACACTGTGTGTCTGTGAAAACCCCCAAAAGCTGACTTCTAGGGGAGGAGTGAAAAATTTGACTGTCATATAATTTAAAATTTGAGAAGAGGGTCCTCAGAGACTGTATTTGCACTAAATTACATGCTGACCTCAACATTTCTTTTATAATGAGTTCTTATTTATTTTCGAGAGATTCTCACGCTGTGTTTTAGGATCAGTTGAAGTGTCCCGGCCAGGTGACCAGGATCCTTTCTGTGTTGTGTTTGCATGTTCTCACCGTGTCCATGTGGGTTTCTTCCGGTTGCTCCGGTTTCCTCCCAAAGACATGCAGTCAGGCTCATTGGATGTGCTAAATTGCTCCTAGGTGTGAATGTGGGTGTATGTGTATATGTCTGTCTGCCCTGTGATAGACTGGTGACCTGTCCAGAGTGTTTCCTGCCTTCTCCCCAATGACTACTGGGATAGGCTCCAGTGCCCTCGTGACCCAGAAGGATAAGTGTGTGTGTGTGTGTGTGGTGCATTTATACATTTTCATTTACATACCCAGTTCCAAATATCAAAAATACCAAGGTATCAAAAATGTAAATAAAAACAGAAACAGATTGCAAATCCATTTTGAGCTGTATTTAATTGAAAACAGTACAAAGACAAAATATTTAATGTTTCAACAAATTTTTAACACCTTTCCTTTTAACAGCATTCAGTAATCATTAGAAAGCTGAGGACACTGAATGATGTAGTTGTAAAAGTGGAAATTTTCCAATTCTTGCTTGATATAACACTTCAGCTGTTCAATAGTCTTTACTGTCATATTGCTTCATAATGTGCAACGTTTTCAGTAGGAAACAGTTCTGGACTGCAGACAGGTCAGTCTCGCACCTGCTCTCTCTGATTATGCTGCCATGCTGCTGTTACACATGCGTAATGTTAATAGAGGTCCCTGAAAAAAATGCGTCTAAAAGGCAACATATGTTGTTTTAAAATGTGTTCAGTGTAAATGGTGTTTTCACAGATGTGCAGCTTACCCACTAATACCCCCCATGCCATTACAGACGCTTGATTTAGAACTTTACGCTGGTAACAATCTGGATGGTTCTTTTCTTCTTTGGCCTGGAGAACACAACTTATTTTCATAAATAATCTGAAAGGGTGACTCGTCAGACCCCAGTATGCGTTTCCACTGAGCATCAATCCATTTCAGATGAGCTTGTGCCCAGAGAAGTTGGTGGTGTTTCTGGGCATTGTTGATATATGACTTCCGTGCTGTGTCTCACATTTGTAGATGCAGTGACAAACTGTGTTTATTGACAAGGATTTTCTAAAGTATTCCTGAGCTAAAATTATTATATTTATTACAGAAGCCTGACAGTTTTTACAGCAGTGCTGTCTGAGGGGTCAAAGATCATAGGCATTCATTATTGAATTTTGGCCCTGCCCTTTACACACAGAGATTTCTCTGGATTCTGTGAATTTCTAATGATGTTCTGGACTGTAGATGGTGAAGTCCCTAAATTACCTGTTATAATGCTTTGAAAATATTAGGCCTCATTCTCCAACTATTCTTAAGAAGAAATTTTCTCCTAAAACCCACTATCACAGTTTTGATGAAGATTCTGACACTAATGTTTTCTTATTTGGGATTTGTTCTTAGGTCAAGAGCACAAAGGTGAGAACAATTATGCACTTTAAGAACACATCATGAATATGACTTAGACTTTTTCTGATCTAGCAATTAGAGTGTGCTGTTTACATGACCATATGAATAATCTGATAACTGCAGAAATCCGATTATGAATTATTATTATGAATTATTGAGTGCATGTAAACGCACTCAGTGACTTCCTTATTGCGGGTGAGCTGGTTACAGTCACATGCAAAAGTTTGTGCACCCCTGATCCCCCTGGGGGAAAAACATAAAATATGGCCTGTACAAAAGTTATGGCACATCTTATGTTTTTATCAAATATTTATAATTTATCATCAAGTCGTATCCTAATCATTCTGCTTAATTTTAATAAACAGAACTACAAACTCATCTCCAGCAAGATGCAAAAAAAGTTTCCTAATTCTAGCTAACAATGGCTATAACTAGCATGTAATGCTAAAGCTAGCTGAAATTCCAGTGTCCATATTTGTGACTTTCTGACAAAAATGCAAAAAAATTGGGAAGGGGCAACAAAAGACTGGAAAAGTTGTTAGTGCTAAAAATAAAAACACCTGAAACACCTGGTTAATTGGCAACAGATCAGTAACATCACTGGATAGAAAAAGAGCAGCCCAGATTGGCTGAGTTTTCAGAAGATGAGGATGGGTTCACCACTATGTGAAAGACTGTGCGGGCAAATAGTGCAACAGCTCAAGCATAACATAAAATTGCAAAGAACTTGGGGATTTCATCATCTACAGTACATAATATCAATAAAAGATGTAGACAATCTGGAGAAATCTCTGTATGCAAAAGACAAGGCCAAAAACCAGTATTGGCTAGGCACCAGTGCCCTCAGGCGGCATTGCATTAAAAACAGACCTGATTCTGTAGTGGAAATCACTGCATGGGCACAGGAACACTTCTGAAAACCAGTGTCTATGAACACAGTTCATCACTGCGTCCTAAAATGCAAGTTAAAACTCTAAAACACAAAGAAAAAATCATATATAAACAGGATCCAGAAATGCTGCCACCTTCTCTGGGCCTGAGCTCATTTTAAAAAGACTGAGGGGAAGAGGAAAAGTGTCCTGTGTTCCAACAAATCAAAATTTGTTTTTGAAAATCATGGACACTGTGTCCTCCAGGGTAAAGACCACTCAGCTTGTTATCAGCACAGTTCAAAAGCCAGTATTGATGATGGTATGAGGGGGCATTAGTGCACATGGCATGGATGACGTGCACATCTGTGAAGGCATCATTAATGCTGAATGATACATACATGTTTTGGCAACATATGTTGCCATTCAGACAATGTCTTTTCGAGGTAAACGTTTGCTTATTTCAGCAAGACACTGTAAAACCACATTCTGCACATATTACAACTGCGTGGCTCTATAGTAAAAAAGTTAGGTCCTGCCTGCAGTCCAGACCTGTCACCCGTTGGAAATATATGACACTTTACGAAACGAGAAATACAACAAAGGAGACCCCGAATTGTTGAGAAGCTGAAATCCTGTATCAAGTAAGAATGAGACAACATTTCACTTTCAAAACTACAGCAGTCGGTGTCCTCAGTTCCCAAATGCTTACAGAGTGTTGTTCAATAGAAGAGGTGATGCAGCACAGTGGTTAATATTTTCCTGTCCCAACTTTTTTTTAAACGTCTTGCTGCCATCACCATTCTAAATGGGCATTTATTTTTTTCAAAAAACAATAAAATTTCTCAGATATGTTGTCTTTGTACTATTTTTAATTAAATATAGAGTATAAATGATTCGCACACCATAGCATTCTTTTTTCATTTACATTTTTTCATTCCCAACTTTTTTGGAAATGGGGTTGTATTTTCAGGTCAGGAAGATAAAGAAGGTGTGTGTGTGTGTTTTCTTTTTAAAACCAAATGTACTGCTCTCTTCAATTCCTGTTCAACTCACTCAGCTACACTGTAAACTAGAGCCACCCTTAGTGTACTTCTGAGTCAAAATAAAGATTGATTGATTGATATTACCACATTTCTTTCACAACTTAACCTAAACTCATAGATCAGGATTGTTTTAGATTAGCTGGATAATTCAAGCCCAGAGTGAGAACTGTTCACCAGGAATGTCCATCAGATCTACCGGACTAGTCTGACTGAAAGTTATCTGGCTAACGGAGATCCTGCTCTGTGAAACTCTCTAGAGCTGCTCAGCTGAAGACCCACCTCAGACTGAAGAGGCTGCAATTAACTTCCTCTCTAATTTTCTGTTCCACCTTAAAAGGTAAAGTTACATCATGAAGCCTGAACGCAAATAATGACGCTCATCCTCACAGGGTTCAGAATGACAGCACCTGATTCCACCTGCAGGCGGCGCTCTAAAGCAGCTCCACACCTGCTGAAACCCGCACAGCTGCTTCGGCTCAGGAAAACATTATGAGACGGTCAGTTTAAAAGTGAGCGAGACGCCACAGAGAGCAAATGGAGAACTGAGAGAACCTTCAGGAGAACTAACAGAGAGAAACCGTAGAGCTTAATGACCTAAAAGCGGGTTTAATTAGTAAATAAACAAACTAACAGCAGAGAAACTCAGAGCAGGAGAAAAAACTAAACTTTAATCGTCCTGAATTCACAGCAGAATCACAGAAAGACAGAACAGATAAACAAACAAACAAACATGTCCCAAACAAACAAACAAACAGAAACATAATCTTTACATACCCACAGGTAAACAAAAATGAATAATGATCATAACTCATGAGCTCTCTCTCTCTCTCTCTCTCTCTCTCTCTCTCTCTCTCTCTCTCTCTCTGTTTTATGACAAGGTCTCTCTCCCACTGAGAAAATGCATAACACCTCCACTTTCAGTCTCGCGCTTGTGGAGTCATTTGTTTAAGTGTGAAATCATTCCTTGATTATAGGTGATTAATGATTGATTGGCGATGTCTGCTGTGATTAATCGTTCTGGAGGTGACGCTGAGATGTCCTGGTGGTCAGTCGATCTGTCTGATCAGGATCCCGTACGGCCTGATCGATCTGTCCAGCAGCTTCTTAAGCTCTTCTCTCCTCCGCTCCTCCTCGAGCGCGTACAGGTCCAGGGGGACCTTCACGAGCCACAGGTCGTCGTTGAGCCTCACGCGCTCGGCGGGGTTGATCCTGTTCTGCATCATCACTCTGTAGCGCTGTCCGTCCTTCTCGAACTCCTTGACCATCTGCTCGTCCTGTTGGGCCGCGACGATGTTCGGGGTGGAGAAGATGCCGAACTCCGCGCGCTGGTTCCCCTCTGAGGGTCTCCCGGTCGCGTGGTAGGACACGGGCCACTCTCCGGCCGCTGATTCGTTCCTCCAGCCGCCCGGACCCAGCCACGCGTTCCCATCCGGGTACTTATTCACAACTTTGAGCGCGAAGCGGTACCAGCCGCAGGGGCGCGTGTACGGCTCCCCGCCGCGCGTGCACTCGGAGGAGTCATTTAGGTTCCTGAAGTCGTAGTCGAAGCTCGGCGCGAGGAAATTGTTGATGTCCACGAACAGCTCCGTCCGCTCGTCCGGCTCCGTTTCCGGCTCCGCGCGGCTCGGCTCGTCTTTGCTGAGGATGAGCGGAAGCAGCGCGGACGACACGAAGTTCTGCACCGTCAGCTCGGACAGGTCCAGTCCGGGGGAGCCGGGCTGCGCGCGGTCCTTAACCGTGGCGCAGGTGAGCGCGGACAGCGCGTCGAGCACGATCGCGCGGTTCATCCTAAAGTTCGAGCCGGAACAAAAGAGAACCAAAGACAGACAACCAAAGAGAAACTAAACAGCAGAACCTAAACGGTTTTACTTTCACTTCAAACTCTGATCCGCCCTGAGACACGCCCCCAACACACACACACACACACACACACACACACACACACACACACAACTTGTGTGACTTCTTCTCAGTCTTCTTCTTTGTAGCTGCAGACAGGGGGGGATCGACTCGTAATCCTTGTCCTGACAGATCCTGCTGTGTTTTGGATCAATTCTGTTTGCATGATGACGTAGGTCGTTCCGGTCTTCGCAGGTGAACTCTTGGCCTGACCTGAATCCGTTGGTCACAGAGAGCTTTACAGTGGAGTATATTCCACTTCTGTATTGAAGAGATGGTCCAGCTTTGAAACAGTAGTGTGTGATGACTGCAGCTCCTTCAATGCTGGTTCTGTGAAAGGAAACCAGCCACTTTTCATCGTCAGAGTGTCTTCTCCATCCTCTGGGCCTAACCAGTCGATGTGCTTCAGATTCAGAGGCAATAGCTAAGCTGTGGAACTGACATCTTAAGCTAAGACAACACTACACGATTTTAACCCAATTTGCTCAATCAGAAGCGACTGACGGCACAGATGATCTGTAGCATGAGAGGAGAAACGAGTGAATCTTTAGCCCTCCGATCAAACTCTGGAGTGATCAGAGTCCCTCCGATATAATCAAAAGTTTAACATTTACGACTCAAAACGTTCATAAGTTCTGCAGTGTGAGACAGTCAGAGATGAACTCAGTGAGTGATTCAAACAGCCAATCAGAGAGCCAGTCTTGGCCACGACTTAGTAAGGCATGGGTATGACATAATTTAGTCGTGGCCACAACTTAGTAAGGTGTGGGAATGAAATAATTAGGCCCTGACCACAGTTCTCATGCCTTACTAAGTCATGGCCATGCATTAGGATCTCATTCCCACACATTAATACGGCATGGTCACACATCATTTTTATTTGTACAAGATCATCATCATGAGCAGGCTTCCGTATGTTTATCATGTAAACTTATTACAGTTTCAGCTCAGCTGCCAGTTTGCAGTGAAATATTTCTCCAGCTCTCACTGTATCAGCACTTCTCACCACATATCTATCCCCAGTTTGAGCTTGGCTTCACATAAAAGCCTAATCAGGTCCAGTAAGTTTAGCTCTGTGTGTGGTGTGATCTGACAAGTTCTGGGAGTTTGAGTTCTTAATCATAGCTGAAATGTATGTTATTCCCTCTCTTTGCCTTGTCGTCTAGTGTGAGCGCCCTCACGACACACAGACAAGACATTCTGTGACAAACAGACGTTAAGTGTGTGATCCTCTCTGCTTTAGAAACCTGTTCATATTTAAAAGTCATGTAGTGAACATCCAGCCTTAGGGAGACAGTTATCAGTGTCAGAGAGGCGGAGCCCAGTACTGTGAGTAATGTGAGCAGTGAGAGGCGAAGGAGGTTCAGATATTTATAGACACACACACGTTTACTTTCTGTTTTCAGTGTCTACACACACACACACACATACACACCCACCTTTATTTACACACTGAAAGAAACTCATACTTCAGCTAACAGGTCCAGTGTTTTAGATGTAAACAGAGTGATTCAGAGTGGTTTGGTGTGAAATGGTTCAGATTTCTTTACAGTGGTGGTGATAGGAACCAGGGGGTCGCCATGACTACAACACAAATATAGACATTTTATTTACTATTCAAAACCACTAGTGAACCTACACACATCTTCTGAGTTTATATGGAATGTTGATGATGGGAAAATAGAGAAAAATATGAAATAAGTTCTCTTTGCCTCGCAGTACCCTGCATGTATCCCTCCACCATGAATGGATTTTAAGTTCTCAAAACTATCAACGTCTCAGACATCAGGCAGTGAATTCTTAACCATTTCATATAATAACTTTCTGTGAAGGAGCTTTTAGAGGTGGACGTCTGGTTCCTATCACCACCAATGTAAACAATTCTGGCTCGGCAAGTTTCTATAGAACGGAACGTTTCACACCAAACCACTCTGAATAACTCTTTTTACATCTTAAACGTATAGTTATGCAGAAATTTTGGAAAATGGGTGAAATTCCCCTTTAAGCTCCAGTCTGGATGCAGGATCTGAAATCTGTGAGTGTTCAGTATCTGCCTCAGCAATCTTTTTAGTTACTATTTACATATTTAACGTTTGATTATGTTGATGCATTCCGCTTATGGCCTCTAAAAGACTGACTGCCGGTTTTCAGTGATAATGTGATTTTATTTGACAGTTTCTCATATTTTAACTGTTTACACAAACTGAAATGATTAACAGAAAAAAATGAAAGAAAAATTTATCAAAAGCTGAAAGTTCATGTGACTTTAAAAAACACTGCTGAACAATAATATCTGAGAAAAAACAAACTGTATTTATGTCTGGAATTTTTCTAGAAAAGAGTGACATAATAACTCAAAACCATCTCGGAACAAGATTCATCCCAATTCTAATAAAATCAGCTCTAATAAAGTGATAAACGTACAGCCCTGCAGAAACACCGCACACTGTTCATGATCAGCTCAGTGAAAATATAAATATATATGTTACCCACAAATCATTATTTACCCAATCGTAAAAAAACAGAAAGAGGCTGAAACAAAGCTGTGTGTGTATTTGTGTGTGTGTGTGTGTGTGACAGTACTTTAGACTTTTTCTAGCACAGTCATGTGCATTATTATTATTATTATTATTATTATTATTATAGGGAAAGTGCTCTGTGAATATTTTGATGTAAAACTGCACACAGTTTGAAGGGGTCAAAAACAAGATCCCCCCTCCCGACAGCATCACTACAGCTCCACCCACCAACACGAGGGCAGTCCAACACTGACCCCAACATCCTAAACTCATTCATTCATATTCCTCAAATGTATATTTCCGATGGTCTTTGATTCTGAAGTTCATCGAATCCTGATCTGATTCTAAATTAAAAGTGATGCTGGATGTTTTTCTGAAATGCTTCTGAGGTAAGAAATCTCAGTGACTGCCGGCGTTTCCTGGTTAGCGTTGCTGCATCCAGTTTAAGTTATGAAATTATGAACATGTTCATCCATAGAACCAACATTTCAATATGAAACCGTTACTGACCTCCTACACCGAACCTTTACAAACACTCCATTAACAGAAACCTGAATAACAGCTTCGGTAAATTCCTAATACACACACAGCCTCGTAAACAAAACATCTTATTCTCCAGTAGAGGGTGCTGCTGTCCAGAGCCAAAAAAAAAAAACAAATAAAACTTCTCAGAAAATAAAACACAAAAGAATGAAAAAATAATAAAGTAAAAAACAGTAGAACAGTAGAGAACAGCAGGTGAGAAATTTTACCCACAATGCACGGTGGGGGAAAGAGTCTCTGCACATCAGCAATGAGCCTCTACAGTAATTCCCATGAGCCTCTGCTGTTCCTCGTGCTGAATTCTGATTGGTTCTCAGATGTCCTGTGGGCCCCTGACCCGTCCATGGGTGGAGGGTTCTGCTGAAGATGGTTTGACTCTGGTGGGTGTGGCTTCTGGTTTGAGGCAGTGCTATCTGAACACTCCCACACTGATGGACAAGGCCACTTCAGGCTTCCTGTGTTTAGTTGCTCTGGTCTTCCCCTCAGGCAACGCCTCCTGAGTGACATTACCATGCACTCTAGACAGACAAACAAACAACAAACAAATAAATAATAAATAATTTATTCAGTCTCTCTAATGACCATCAGTAGTATTAGTTTGTATTAGTATGTGTGTGTGTGTGCGTGTACTGGTGTGTGTGTGTATTAGTGTATGTGTAGTTCCTCACTCTTTCCTGCAGTTCTCTGTTTGTTCCCTGAGTCTCTGCTGGGCCTCCTCATCCTGCAGCGTACTGAACTCTCTATTAGAGTCAACAAGCAGATTCTACACACACACACAACAAGATAAACAGACATGTTAAAGTATGGTAGAAGAGTACAGTACAATAATAGAGTACAGTAAGGTTAGGAGGTAGAGTACAGTATGGTGCATTAGTAGAGTACAATACAGTACAGTAATAGAGTATAGTACCGAAATATAGTAAGGTACGTTAAGAGAGTATAGTAAGGTACAGTAGTAGAGTATGGCAATAGAGTATAATAAGGTATGGTAGTAGAGTATAGTACAGTACGAGAGGGGGTTTGAGAGGGGGTGGTAAAGTCGAGGAGTCTACAGTAGGATGTGGTAGGGTATGGTAAAGTCTGGGAGTGTACAGTAGGGAATGGTAGGAGATTGTAAAATCCAGGTGTGTACAGTAGGGTATTGTAAGGAATGGTAATGTCCAGGAGTGTACAGTAGGGTATTGTAGGGATGGTAAAGTCCAGAAGTGTACAGTAGGGTATGGCAGGGAATGGTAAAGTCCAGGAGTGTACAGTAGGGTATGATAAGGAATGGTTAAGCCCCGTAGTGTACAGTAGGGTATTGTAGGGGATGGCAAAGTCCCGGAGTGTACAGTAGGGTATTGTAGGGGATGGCAAAGTCCAGGTGTGTACAGCAGGGTATTGTAGGGGATGGTAAAGTCCAGGAGTGTACAGCAGGGTATTGTAGGGATGGTAAAGTCCAGAAGTGTACAGTAGGGTATGGCAGGGAATGGTAAAGTCCAGAAGTGTACAGTAGGGTATGATAAGGAATGGTTAAGCCCCGGAGTGTACAGTAGGGTATTGTAGGGGATGGCAAAGTCCTGGAGTGTACAGTGGGGTATTGTAGGGGATGGCAAAGTCCAGGTGTGTACAGCAAGGTATTGTAGGGGATGGTAAAGTCCAGAAGTGTACAGTAGGGGATGGTAAAGTCTAGGAGTGTACCGTAGGGCATGGTAAGGGATGGTAAAGTCCAGGAGTGCACAGTAGGGTATAGTAGGGGATGGTGAAGTCCAGGAGTGTACAGTAGGGTATGGTAAGGGATGGTAAAGTCCAGGAGTGTACAGTAGGGTACGGTAGGGGATGGTAATGTCTAGGAGTGTACCATAGGGTATGGTAAGGGATGGTAAAGTCCAGGAGAGCACAGTGAGGGGACGGTAAGGGATGGTAAAGCTTGGTCACTGGAGGGGGTGGTTAAAAAAAGCCTGACAGGACTTCAAGAAAACATATTTATTAGCCCAGTTCCAGTCTTACCACAGTGGACTACCATCACAGGTTTCAAAGTAAAAGAGCAAAATTAAAGGAGACACTTAACTTCATTCAACACCTGACAAAACTCATCAGAATATTATAATTCTTTATGAACGTCAGGTGTGTAAGCAGATAAAATATGAATTTGCAGAGCGTCAGGGCTCGTAACATGGGGAGTGAGAAACAGCACTCTCAGTGACTCTGTTTTACCTTCACACCGATGATGTCTCCATCTCTGAGGCAATATGGAGCTCCCTGAAGACTCTCTACCTTTTTCTTCTTCTTCCGTTTGGAGACCTGCTGAGTCTGAAGAATGTGAGAAGGTTCATTTATTTACATCAGTCAGTGAACATGCACTGACCCTACAACCCTGACCCCACAATGAGAAGGTTAGAGCATCTGGGCCAAGTCCTGAAGACTGAGAACTGTTTCTTCCAGTGTGTCAGACTGTTGAACAGACCAGTCTGATGGACCTTAAACATTCAGACTGATCTGCTTAACTCATATTCTTTACTCTCATCTACTAAAAGTTTACATAAGAAACAATTCATCAAAATTCATTTTATATTCACAGAACACCATATTCTGTACACACTGTCTCTGCTATTAAAAGTTTTAATGCCTCTAAAAGCCCCCTCACAAAAAGTGATTACATGAAATGGTTATGATTACACTGCCTGATGTCTGAGACGTTAGTTTTGAGATGATTTTGGTCTTAAAATCCATTCATGGCGGAGGGATACATGCAGAGTGTTGTGAGGCAAAATAGTCCCCACAGAAAACTTTATTATTAAAACTATTATTTCAGATTTTCCACTATATTCCCATCTTCAACATTCCATATAAAACTCAGAAGACACATGTAGGTTCACTGGTGGTTTTGGATAGTAAATAAAATGTCTATATTTGTATTTTACTTTAATCTCCAATTTAACCAGGTATGTTGTTAATAACACATTATTTAAGCCCAAGGCTGTGAAAGAAAGGAATGACTCTGAACTTTATCCAGACTTTCACATCTGTAAGAACTTCCTAATTTCTGAACTTTACTGCCCCAACAAAAATCTGTGTACATCTCTCTTTATCCCGGACAGTCAGGGTTTGTTTGTGTAAGTGTTTTATGTCTCTCGCTCTCTCAGTCCTCACCCAGTTGTGGATGGGCATCCAGGTGTGTTTTTCAGGCAGGTGTTTGGCCAGCAGCAGGTTTTCGGGGGAGATGCCGTAGAGGGAGGAGAGTGAATGGTAAAGCCCCTTCGCGGAAGGGTCTCGCCCAGCGTCCCAAACAAACTCCTGAGAAGGGTAATACGCCCTCTCGCCTGGCACACCCATCCGCACCCTCAACAGAACATCCTTTACCCTGAGCGGACACAAACAAACAAACTCAGTAAAACAGTGTCAATGGTCTATGTTTGGAGTGGCTTTAGTCTGGTTTCCATCTGTTATAGTCTGGGTTTAGACTGGTGTTGGTCTAGGTGTAAGTGTTGCTCTGCGTTTAGTCTCTGTTTAGTCTGTGCTAGGTTTAAGTTTAGTCTAAGGTTGGTCTGGGTTAAGGCTTGATTTAGTTTGGGTTCAGACTCAGCTTAGTTTGGGATTAGTCTAGTGTTGGATCTGTTTAGGCTCTGTTTAGTTTGGGTTTAGTTTTGGGTTTAGTTTGGGTTTTGTCTCTGATTTGTCTGGGACTAGTGTTTAATTTTGGTTTATTCTGGGTTTAGTCTGTGATTAGTATGGGTTTATTCTGGGTTAGGTTTAGGGTTAGTTTGGGTCTATTCAGGGTTTAGTTAGGTTAATTTTGGTTTATTCTGAGTTTAGTCTCTGATCTGAGTTTAGTCTGGGTTTAGTTTGGGCTTATTCTCTGATTAGTCTGGGTTTAGTTTGATTTAAGTCTCTAATTACTCTGGGCTTAATTTGGGTTTAGTCTGGGTTTAGTATCTCATTAGTTTGGGTTTAGTCCCTGATTAGTCTGGGTTTAGTTTGGGTTTAGTCTCTGTTTAGTTTGGCTTTAGTCTGATGTTGGTGTGTTTAGAAACTCACCCAAGATTCTCCTCACACTGCAGCTTCTGAACGCAAACCTCACTTCCGCACACCACCTTCAGCTTCCTGCCAGACAACAACATTAACATTAACAAAAATAAAAACATTAACATCAACAACATTAACATGTTTTAATATATTAATAATATATAACAGCACAGTTATATAGCACAGAACCAACATTATTGTTATATAACAGAAATAAAATAAAAACTTTGGGAGATTTTGCTCTGTAATTAGCTTTCAGAGTTTAACACAAGTTCAGCTCAAATGAAAACTTCAGGGGGCGACTGCTCTGTCATTGTCTTAGCTGAGGACTAGAATTTAACTCAAGGTTAAACATGAATGAGTCACGTGTTCTTCACTCCATTGCTGTGTCCTCAAAAGCTGCAGTTTAAACTTAACCCTACACTTTAAACTGCACTGCCTGCAGTGTTTCAGACTGGGCATAGTGGCGTAAGAAACGGCTCAGTAACGCAGCAGCCAAGCGGCATAAGAAGCAATTCAGTAATGCAGCAGCCGAACGACATCAGAAACGACTCGGTAACGCAGCAGCCGAGCAACGTCAGCAACAACTCAGCAACGCAGCAGCCGAGGGACGTAAGAAACAACCCGGTAACGCAGCAGCCAAGCGACGTCAGAAACGACTCAGTAATGCAGCGGCTGAGCAGCATAAGAAACGACTCAGTAGCCGAGCGATGTCAGAAACGATTCACTAACACAGCAGCCAAGCGGCGTAAAACACAACTCGGTAACGCAGCAGTCGAGCGACGTCAGAAATGACTCAGCAGTGCAGCAGCCGAGCTGCGTAAGAAACAACTCGGTAATGCAGCAAGAAAGAAAACATAAATAAACTTGAGTGTTGCAATATTGTGTTGTATGATACTGTATTGAATCTCAAAAACACAGCATCGATTTTTAAATAAATTTAAATAGTTTTGCATGCAAAGATTCGTGATGAATCGTTCAGTGGTGCTTTTCGAGTTGTGTTAAAACCCCCGACCACTAGATGGCAGTGTTGTAATTTATCTTCAGGCATTAGACTTTTTCTTTTACTCAGAGTTGCATATGGTAGTGTTTTTTATACTATAACAGTTTTCCTAAAATTAGATTTTAAAAAATCGCAGTGTATCGCCTTGCTTTACAGTATCGCAAAATATATAATCGGAACCCCTGTATCATGATAAATATCATAACGTCAGGTTCTTGCCTAAAGGTAGCCCTGAAGGTCATCAGGTTTCAACATAAGCTCGTTCAGGTGATCATAGGTGTCTCTAATAGAACGTTGTTGTGGCTGATATGGCAAAATATAATATGTAAATACTTTAAGCCATTTCCATGATACATAATGAGCATCACAAAATTCTGTTTTTCTGAGGTTTGATCAAGTGGAACAAACAGAAAAGCTCCAGCATTTAACACATTATTTAACACTGTTAATACAATGAGTTTAATTAACTGATTTTACTCCGCTGCTCTAAACCCAATTAAACTGGATTAATTATTATTTATTAATTACCAATTAATACTGCAGCCTTTAAATCTCTCCTCCATCACTACAGCCTTTAGATCTCTCCAACATCACTGCAGCCTTTAGATCTCTCCTACATCATTACAGCATCTAGGTAATTACCAATGATTTATTAATTGCAATACAGCACTGACCACAAACATGTTTACCCAAGTGTGTGTGTGCGTGTGTGTGTGTGTACCTGAGAGTGAGTGTGTTTCCTCTGAGGATCTTGCTGAGTCTCTGATCTTCCACCAACCAAACTCTGAGAAATTCAGGTGTTGGCACACACACATCCAGAAGCGCAGGCAGAGTCAGCACCTACACACACACACACACACACACAGCGTATCTATAGAGTGTACAGTATAGAGTGTGTACATGATGACCATGTCAAAATACTTGAGGGCCTAAATATTGTTCACAAATTATTAAAAATATTAAGTTTTCAAAATACAACCAAGTAGTTTTGTTACATAATATTCTTTACATGTCAAATAAATGCAGTAGAAATTCAAAAATGACTAAATCTGTCTGTGGGCCGCATTTGGCCCTGGGGCCGGACTCTGGACACCCCTGGTGTAGTATGTAATATGTAGTGTGTAGTACAGAGTGTATAGAATGTAGTATGTAGTGTGTAGTACAGAGTGGCTGATGTTCAGCACAGTTCTGTGATTTTCTTGCTCTAACACACCAACTAACCCTTACAATCAGCAGCTGAGCTGAATCAGGTCTGAGCAGGAACACCACCGAACTGTGCAGGAGTTCATCACCCCGCTGTAGGGTGTAGTGTGTAGTGTACAGTGTATAGTGTGTAGTTTACAGTGTGTTGTGTATAGCACATGTGTAGTGCATAGTGTGTAGTGTATTGTGTAGAGTGTGTATGGTTTGTGGTGTGTAGTGTGTAATGTTAAGTGTATAGAGTGTACAGTGAGTAGTGTACAGAGTACAGTGTGTAGTGTACAGAGTATAGCATGTAGTGTATAGAGTATAGCGTGTAGTGTATGAAGTATAGTGTGTAGTGTATAAAGTTTGCGTATAGAGTGTCTAGCGTATAGTGTATAGATTATAGTGTGTAGTGTACAGTGTGCAGTAGTGTTTATGGTATGTAATGTGTAGTATGAAGTGTACAGTGAGCACTGCAGTAGAGTGTCAGTAGTAAAGCTAAGATCTACCTGACACCTGAGATCCTGCAGTGAAGCTTCTTCAGAGATTTCAACAAATCCAACAGACTTCATCATTTCTGAAACACACACACATACACACCCACACACGCTGCAGAGTGAGGTCTGTACTCAACACCGCGTCCACCCCATAACCACCCCACACCACACTGCTGAATTGAGAGTGTGTCTAACCTGCAGTGTGTGTTCTCTCAGTGCTGCGATTCAGCTCCGGAACAGCAGGCACACACTCACCATCCGGATCTTCACTCCTCCCCCACCACCAGCTCACCATCAGCTTCAGAAAGCCCTGAAACACACAGACACACACAGAATATTTTCAACAGGCTAACTAAACTAAACTGAACATCTACAAACACTGTAATCTTCCGGCTCCATAAACACTGATCATGTGACTTTACTGATTGTGTGACATCACCTTGGGGGGCAGCTGTCCTTCAGTGAGCACCAGTGTGTCTCCATTAGCAACGCCCACTTCCAGCAGAGAAGCGTTCTATAAGGAAACACAAACACACCACATTCACAGCGAAACTACATTTACCTCATCATTGTGGGTGTGTGTGTGTTAGAGAGCTGCTACGCGACAGGTCCTGAAATATCGAGTTTCAGGCCAATTTTTCATGCACAGCATCAAGTTTACACATATGTATTTCTCTCTCTTTCGAAGGGGCGAACGAGCCCCTGAATGAAACCAGGAACAAAGTTCAGCAGTACATCATCCTCAGCCACTCCATGTACAGTGAGAGGGACATGCTGGTGACGGCAAGGGGCGTGTCGGTGATGATGAGAGGGACGTGTCAGTGTAGGCGAGAGGGACGTGTCGGTGTAGGCGAGAGGGACGTGTCTGTGATGGGGAGGGACGTGTCGGTGTAGGCGAGACGGACGTGTCTGTGATGGGGAGGGACGTGTCGGTGTAGGCGAGACGGACGTGTCTGTGATGGGGAGGGACGTGTCGGTGTAGGCGAGAGGGACGTGTCTGTGATGGGGAGGGACGTGTCGGTGTAGGCGAGAGGGACGTGTCTGTGATGGGGAGGGACGTGTCGGTGTAGGCGAGATGGACGTGTCTGTGATGGGGAGGGATGTGTCGGTGTAGGCGAGAGGGACGTGTCTGTGATGGGGAGGGACGTGTCGGTGTAGGCGAGAGGGACGTGTCTGTGATGGGGAGGGACGTGTCGGTGTAGGCGAGACGGACGTGTCTGTGATGGGGAGGGACGTGTCGGTGATGTGAGGAGGCGTGTCGGTGATAGCCAGAGGGATGTGTTGGTGATGGCGAGAGGGGCATGTTGGTGATGGCGAGAGGGGCGTGTTGGTGATGGCGAGAGGGGCGTGTTGGTGTAGCAGCGGTAGCAAGAGGAGTTTTAGTTCATCAGAGGAGGTGGACACTGTTCTGCCAGGTTCAGTCAGTATGTCTACAGAAATGTATTAATTATAAATACTGCAAATCAACTACCGTGAAACACAGCAGTTTATCCAGCGTCACCATCACTTTTAGTAATCGTTGCTCTGTAAAGCCTGTGTGTGATAACCCACTCTGTGCGTGTGAGAGAATTCAGGTTTAGAACTAATAAGTGCCATTTGGTTCCAGCTAGGTCTCAGAGTCATGCGTCCGGGCAGGGGCAGATTAAGTGATTCTGTGGCCATAGTGTAAAGACAGGAATAGGGCCCCCTGGATGCACAATTTTAAATGATTAGGCTCCCGAGTGGTTCAACAGCCCCAAATCACAGCTATTTTAAAAATATCATACATATTTTGGAACAGGTTACTTAACGTTAACATGTACAGTGTTTATAATTTGTATTTTCACGCGCGTTTGAATCATGAGGGCTGCAGGCGGCTGCCTATCTTTGCCTAGTGTAAAGGTTCGGGGTTTGGTCCAGATGGGCCGAGTTGGGTCAGGTCTCAAAGTCATGGGTCCGGTCGAGTTCAATAGGAATCCGTGACAATTGGTCCGGTCTGGTTTCAAATTAATCAGTACCAGTCAGATCAGGTCTGTTTCGTACCCGTGTAGACCTCAGGTGTGTGTGTATGTTCCTGTACCTCATCCCTGAGAGGTTCCCCGACCTCCTCACACCAGTCCATCCTACGCACATGCCAACAGGTTCCTGCAGAGAAATACACACACACACGCACACACACGCACACACACGCACACACACGCACACACACACACACACACATTGTTTATAAGCTGTAGTTCGGCTGATTGTCAGAGAAAAACACGAAAGACGAGCAGAAGAATCAGAGTTTACCTTCCAGCCCGGCTGCTCGGGCCATCTCCATCACACACTGAAACACACACAGAGCACTGAGAATTAAAAACAAATACACACACACAGATGTTCATGCAGATACTCCACGCAGACACTCAGACTGACCTCCTTCACTGAGAGCGTTTCCTCCACTATGAGCTCCAGCTCCGGATCACTGGAGGGCGCTGTGCTCACTCTGCAGTACAGGAACAGCTGCAGGACAGAGTGATGAAGATGAAGTGATGAAGTGGATGAAGAATCAGAAGTTGTGGATGCAGCTGAGGAAGGCTGCGTTTCTCAGCTGTTATGTCAATGAAGGCTTTTCCGGACAACTTTTAAACGCAGCCTTCACCTCTGAGAACTAAAATGACTCAACTGGTGGATTATTGAATCCCCACTCACTCACAATCAGGGTTAAAGGGGGTTTTCAGAGGTGGTGGAGCACTTCACGGTAGTCAACAATGTGGGAACATTGCTCAGTGTATGTTGTATTATAGAACTCTCAGCACTGATATCATTAAAATGTCATTAACCGTAATAACCTGTTTCTGACTTTATGATATCACTAAGCAAATTATTTTGCTTTGGCTGCTGTATTGTTCCTTGTGTGAGTGTTGGTTAGCAAAAAATACTGACCTGTTGGTTCTGTGAAATAAGCTAATGCTGCCCAGAAACAGAGCAGCCTCTTCATCCCTTTAATGCCCCTCAGCTCTCCATGAAGCTGAAGTGAGCTTCTTTTTGCCAGTGTCTTGTTTGAATTTTCCTGTTCCATCTTAAATTGTACAGCAGTTACTGGCGCCAGAAGGTGACTGCTGCATCATTTAAAGGGGAGCAGGAAAAAACGAACAAGGCAAATAGGAAGCCAGCTTCAGCCTCGTCAGCTCTCGGAGGTCTCTCCACCCCTAAAACGCCCTTGCCTGATCTAAGAACTTTTTTTCTCAATCTTCGATCTTCAGATCTTCTCGTCTCTGGCTGATTCTCCATCTCTCCTTGTTGACAATGCTTGGAGTTCAGCACATAGCCCCTTCCAGCGTCCTGTACACAAGCAGGAGAGCCCCCTGTTGCTGGGTGGCTGCAATAATTTTGTGTCGTTTGGTTCAAGACATTTCCTGTTTACAGAGCCAAGGCTGTACACCAACACCAGCGTGCACACAGAACAGATATCATGCGCTCCATGAGGAGATACTCACTGAATTTGACTAAAGTGTATTGGATTAACATCACTAACTGTGTCACACGGTTTATGTCAGACTGTCTGTACTGTGAGTGAAGGAATCGTCAGACACCAGCAGAGACCTCTCCTACATCACTGAGCCTTTAGATCTCTCTCTTTAATCACTGCAGCCTTTAGATCTCTCTCTTTAATCACTACAGCCTTTAGATCTCTCCAACATCACTGCAGCCTTTGGATCTCTCCTCAATCGCTGCAGCCTTTAGATCTCTCCTACATCACTGCAGCCTTTAGATCTCTCCTACATCACTGCAGCCTTTAGATCTCTCCTACATCACTGCAGCCTTTAGATCTCTCCTACATCACTGAGCCTTTAGATCTCTACTCAATCACTGCAGCCTTTAGATCTCTCCAACATCACTGCAGCCTTTAGATCTCTCCTCAATCACTGCAGCCTTTAAATCTCTCCTACATCGCTGAGCCTTTAGATCTATCCTCCATCACTACAGCCTTTAGATCTCTCCAACATCACTGCAGCCTTTAGATCTCTCTTACATCATTACAGCATTTAGATCTCTCCTCCATCACTGAACCTTTAGATCTCTCCTCAATCACTGCAGCCTTTAGATCTCTCCTACATCACTACAGCATTTAGATCTCTCCTACATCACTGCAGCATTTAGATCTCTCCTGCATCACTGAACCTTTAGATCTCGCCTCCATCACTGCAGCCTACAGATCTCTCCTCCATCACTACAGCCTTTAGATCTCTCCAACATCACTGCAGCCTTTAGATCTCTCCTACATCACTACAGCCTTTAGATCTCTCCTACATCACTACAGCCTTTAGATCTCTCCTACATCACTGCAGCCTTCACCTAGGAGTCTCCTCAGACACGCCTGCACTCAGAGTCACCATTTACATCACAGTAATCCCGCCCACTTTCACCTAAGAGCAGTAACCCTGCCCACTCTTACCTGAGTGCATTTGGGGGCGAGTCCAGGACACAGATACAGTGATGTCATCAACCTTATACCTGCATCACGCAAACACAGTTCTTCACGCACTGAAGGAAACACACAGAGCATCCAAATTAACTGACAGCTGGCGGTGGTATATGAGTGGTCAGTGAGTGTTCTCTAAGTTGTCAGTGAATGGTCACTATATGGCCTCTGAGTGGTCAGTGAGTGGTCTCTGAATGGTCTGTGAGTGGTAGGGAATGGTCTCTGAGTGGTATCGCATTGTCTGAGGGGGCAATAAGCGGTCTGAGTGGTAGTGGGTGTTCACTGAGTGTTCTCTGAATGGTCATTGAGTGGTAGTGAGTGAGACCACTCAGTGACAACTCAGAGACCAGTGGTCTCTGAGTGGACAGTGAGTGGTCTGAGTGGTCAGTGAGTGGTCTCTAATGGTCAGAAAGTGGTCTCAGAATGGTGATGAGTGGTCTCTGAGTGGTCAGTTAGTGGTCTCTGAGTGGTCTCTAAGTGGTTTCTGAGGGGTCAGTGAGTGGTCTGTGAATGGTCTCTGAGGCGTCAACAATAGTTCAGGGGTGGGTGATCGGGGGTAAGGGGTCTGTAAAGGGTCTTTACCGGGAGGCAGAAGTTTTCCTGTTCGATCCAGCTGCCTCAAACAGCATGGCACCCCTGAAAGTGAGAGAGAGCGAGAGAGAGAGAGAGAGAGAGAGAGACACTTAAGGTTTAAAGACTATAAATTTAGAGATTAGGACAGAGATTACGTCAAACCTTAAACTACATTTTCCTAATAATGGAGACTCTCCACTGCGTAGTACAGGATGAGGCTTAATCCCTGTCTGAAAAACCAACATTGGGAGTTCAGAGATTGGGTATCAGAAGTGCAAAGTTTAAGGATTTGGTGTGAAGAGATTAGGGATTAAGAATTTAGAGAGTAAGTAATTAGAAATTAAGAGGTTTAGAGATCAAAAGGTATGGGCTTCAGGGTTTAGGGGTCAGTTTTCTAGACCCAGATTAACACTACATCTAGACTAAAACGCATTTCCAACACTGATCCATTACTGGCAATGCAATTTAGTCCAGGCTTAAACCCAGTTCAAGAAACAGCCATAAACGTTTCTTTATTGATTACAAGTTTATACTTTAATGGATTACTGATTAGACAATTCTAATTTGATTGACTATTGCTTAAAGTTAGGTTTACTCACCTGTGAGCCGTTCCTGAAGCTGCAGCTGCTCTAGAGCTCTCTGCTTCACTTCCCCCAGCAGCTACACACACACAATAACAGCACAATAAACTCAGGACACACACTACATCCGTTCACTCCAGTACAGCAGTGTGTGTGTGTGTGCATGTGTGGTCTCACCGTGTCTCCTGAAGCTACAATCTTCTTCATCTTTCCCTCTTCCTCCTCCTCTGCTGCAGTTTGTGGCCAAAACTGCACTTGCAGCCAGCGACAGTCAGAGGGCGTCATTAGAGTCACCAAATCGCCATTCACACTGAACATACTGCACAAAAAAAGAGAAAAGAAAAAAAGATAAACAACAAAAACTCCACAATCACAGCTGAGTCTGAGCCTGACCGCAGAGTCTAATCTTCAGGTTAACTGAGTCTAAGACTGACGGCAGAGTCTGATCCTTAGTTTAACTGAATTTGTGACTGACCACGGTGTCTGACCTGTCGCTGGCGTGTGTGGGCGGGAGCAGCAGCAGTGAGTCTCCGTCCCGGAGTGTGAGCTCACGCAGGGTTTTCCGCATTGCTTCTGGGGAACACACCCTCCATCCACTGGCTCCACCTCCGTCTGGCTCCGCCCCCTTCTCCTCCTGGCACACAAGTGCCTCCTGTTGGCCCAGCGCCTCCCGAACGTCGCTAAGCGTGAGTGCCCTAGGGAACCCATGTGAGGAACGCTGGAGACCCGATTCATCTACAGCCTCACAGCCAGCGTCCAGCTGGACACATGGCCGCATAACGTTTAGCAACACTGGCTCCCACTCAGTGCCGATCTGCACTCGCTCACCGTTTACCTAACATACATAAACACGCACACAGATACAGATATGCAGTGTGGTTATGCAGTGTTGGGTATTTAGAGAATGTATAGTGTTGAGGACTGTTAGATGTTGCTTGCTTGTTTTGGGTAGCACTGGACAGTGCTTGGAAGTACTGGCCAGCACTGAATGGTGTTGGGTAGTGGTGGGACTATGTTGGATGATGTTTAGTACCGTTGGAGTGTTGTTGAATGGTGTTGTGTAGTGCAGGATGGTGTTTGGTACAGCTGAGTGGTGCTCGGTATTTTACCATCTTAGAAGTAGCGGTATCTTGGATGGTATTAGGTGGTGATAGGTAGTGCTGGATGGTGTTTGATGGTATTGAGTGGTAATGGATAGTGCTGGATGGTGTTGAATGGTATTGAGTGGTAATGGGTAGTGCTGGATGGTGTTTGATGGTACTGATTAGTGATGGTTAGTGCTGGAGGGTGTAGGACAGTATTGAGTGGTGATGGGTAGTGCTGGGTGAGGTTAGACAGTATTGAGTGGTGATGGGTAGTGCTGGATGGTGTTGGACAGTATTGAGTGGTGTTGGGTTGTGCTGGATGGTGTTGGACAGTATTAAGTGGTGATGGGTAGTGCTGGATGGTGTTGAGTGGTGATGGGTAGTGCTGGATGGTGTTGGATGGTACTGAGGTGTAATGGGTAGTGCCGGATGGCGTTTGACAATATTAAGTAGTAATGGGTAGTGCTGGACGGTATTAAGTGGCGATGGGTAGTGCTGAATAATGTTGGATGGTATTGAATGGCGATGGGTAGCACTGAATGGTGTCGGACGGTATTGAGTGGTGATGGGTAGTACTGGACAGTGTTGGATGGAATTGGGTGGTGATGGGTAGAGGTGGGCGCTGTTAGTTGGTACTGGATGGTGATGGGCACTTTTGGACAGAGTTGGTGTTACCTCTCTCCCATTCCATACAAACAAGTCAGAACCGTTAGACACTCCAGCACTGTATAGAGACTGCTGATCATCTGTAACACACACACACAAAGTGATCTATCCACTCAGCCAATACAACACTGTGTCTTTGCATGTGTGTTTGTGTGTGTGAATGAGTGTGTTACCTGTGAGTGTGTTGTACAGGTGTAATCCTGCAGGCAAGTGTTTAGCGATGGTCAGTGCCATGTCCCCCTCCCACTGATCCTGCATCTGAACACAAACAAAACAGCCAAGATCACACAATCATCACAGAAACACATTGAACAGCATAAACATCACTGTGGTACTGATATGTCCACACCTGATAATGCCACAAACTCTCTAAAAAAAAATCACCTGATAAACAGCCAGTCGTAGGTCTCCCACTGTTTTCCTGCGGTCAAAGGTCATGGCAATGGCGCTGGTGTCCGTGCTGAACGGCTGCAGCGCTCCATTCCGGGTGCAGTAACAAGGAGCCAAATGAAGCCGAAACTCAACACTGTTACTGCTGGCATCAAACTCCGCCCTAAAACAACACAGTCATCACACTGTCACTGCAACAAATCAATACACCTATATTATCATTACTGCAGTGACTAATGCAGCTGCTATGTTCTTAATGTCAGTGTCACAAACTCAGATTAGACCTAAGGTAGTGTGTGTACCGTCTCTGCTGAAGTCGAGCGTTCTCCTCGTGGATCATCTCCAGCAGGTGGGGGGGCACTTTATAAGCAGGGTTTCCGCTCGCTGTTTAACACAGAACACCATGTAGATTAACCGAAAACTGTTAATGAGGCTAATGACTTCAGTCTAAATATGTCCAGCGAGTCACTGTTAAAGCAAAAGTGCAGCTAAAAATCAATCAGCCGAGTCACGCTTAGCGTCTGATAATCTTCCCACAGAGTTTTAATATAACACTTACAAATTGATTTGAGTGTAAAATATGTTTAAAATAAATACAACACTGTTTGTTTCCAGACAAAGGTGTGTAATGTATCACTAAAGTGCCCCTCATACAGACCCTCCGGTGGTCTCTGCAGTGATTTTTTCCTGTAGAACAGCATGTACGCGCTCTCTTTCCCCTCAAACTGCTTCCTGATGTCTCGTTCTCGTATAGGCGTCACCGTGGAGTCGTTGAGATCGAACCAGTGGCAGCTGCTCTCACGCTGCGCCCCCAAATGGATCTCAGACTCCACCCCCATTCCGCTCGACTCAGTGCCCAACCGGAGTTCTGCCTCATGCCCTGCCTCCTGTACTACACTGAGCCCCGCCCCCCGCTGTTCTGCCACGGTGCTCTTGGGGCCGTTAGCGTTAGTGTGGATGTTGGTGTTGATGGTGTGTTTGGGGTTCAGAGCCACGCGGGAGCTGTCTGACACCAACAGGAAAACATCAGAGTGGCTCCGCAGGAACTAAGAGGCAAACAGCAAAGAGAGAAAATACACACCGTTAGAGTCACTATCACACACACATGTGCACACATCCTGCTGTTCCAGAAAGACTGAATGAACTCTGACCTCAGTACCTTATTAATTGGTCCAAACTGTTTCCTAAACTTCTTATTCCACGAGAAACCGATTCTATCCATCAGCTTCTGGCCAAGCTGGTCCAACATCACACTACCAGAAGATTCCTGAGAGAGATAGAGAGACAGAGAGAGAGTAGTATCTGTCCCCAACCATGTGTGTCATCCACGACAATCTTCCTCACAAACACCGACCACAAATCCAGTGACACACTGCATGGAGTTCTGTTGTTCTAGGAGGAGTCTCAGCTGTACTGGGAGCGGAGTTGGTTGCTGAAGGTGACTTGGAGAGATGGATGCGTTTGCGCTGCTATAACATGTGGCTCAAATGCGTCTCAGTTCATCTCCTGAAGTGGTTTGAGTGATCAGATTTGAATCTGTATTAAATGCGTCCTGGATGCGTTTAAACTCGAGGTTACACATTTTCCTGTGACCTCATTCAGATATAATCCTGATACTCAAGACGCATGATGTGACCAGGTGTAAACAGGGTCTGACTGTGTGAGCGTAAGTGTACCTGAGCTATAACTGCAGTCAGAACAGAAAGAGGATCCTCCATATCCACGGCAACATCACTTTCTTTCACAGTCTGGGTTTTCCTCTGAGTCTGTTTCTCCTTCACATCCTCCTCCTACACACACACACACACACACACACACACACACACACACACACACACAGAGGTATTAGATCTGTAACTTCACTTTAGAACCTGGAGAACTCTCAGGAGCTCACAGAAAGAGAAAAAGAGAGAGAGAGAGAGAGAGAGAGAGAGAGAGAGAGAGAGAGAGAGAGAGAGAGAGCAGAGCAGACTGACCGGCGCCTCCCAGCAGCCGAGCTGGTCGATGTCTTTGATGTAGACGTGATAGTGTCCTCCATAACAGCCGCCTTTGTGTATAATAACAGAGAAAAGCTCGTAGCAAAACTCAGAGTCCGGCAGAGACGACTGCAGAGACACACACAGACACACAATTGTGCATTATCACTGCATCGCACCAATTTTACAATAAAACACTTCCTTTAACACTAACATATAAGCACAGCCAAATTCAGCTACAGTAAAATATATCAGTAGTAAAGATGAGCAGCGTGAAGAAAACAATTTCAATACTACAAAAATAAAACGTTGAGATGGTTTTTAATCTTTCGTTACAGTGCTATAACAGGAGTAATGTTAGGCATTAGCCGTTAGCTGCTGTAGTGTTTAGTCATTAGCCGTTAGCTGCTGTAGTGTTCTGTCATTAGCCGTTAGCTGCTGTGGTGTTCTGTCATTAGTCGTTAGCTGCTGTAGTGTTCTGTCGTTAGCCGTTAGCTGCTGTGGTGTTCTGTCGTTAGCCGTTAGCTGCTGTGGTGTTCTGTCGTTAGCCGTTAGCTGCTGTGGTGTTCTGTCATTAGTCATTACCTGCTGTGGTGTTCTGTCATTAGTCGTTAGCTGCTGTAGTGTTCTGTCATTAGTTGTTAGCTGTTGTAGTGTTCTGTCTTTAGCCATTAGCTGGTGTAATGTTCTGTCATTAGTTGTTAGCTGCTGCGGTGTTCTGTCATTAGTCATTAGCTGCTGTAGTGTTCTGTCATTAGCCGTTAGCTGGCGTAGTGTTCTGTCGTTAGTTGTTAGCTGCTGTAGTGTTCTGTCATTAGTCGTTAGCTGCTGTAGTGTTCTGTCATTAGTCATTAGCTGGCATAGCTAGTGTTCTGTCATTAGTCGTTAGCTGCTGCGGTGTTCTGTCATTAGCTGTTAGCTGCTGCGTAGTGTTCTGTCATTAGTCATTGGCTGCTGCAGTGTTCTGTCATTAGCCGTTAGCTGCTGCGGTGTTCTGTCATTAGCCGTTAGCTGCTGCGTAGTGTTCTGTCATTAGTCGTTGGCTGCTGCAGTGTTCTGTCATTAGCCATTAGCTGCTGCGGTGTTCTGTCATTAGCTGTTAGCTGCTGCGGTGTTCTGTCATTAGCCATTAGCTCCTGCAGTGTTCTGTCATTAGCTGTTAGCTGCTGCAGTGTTCTGTCATTAGCCGTTAGCTGCTGCAGTGTTCTGTCATTAGCCGTTAGCTGGCGTAGTGTTCTGTCGTTAGTCGTTAGCTGCTGTGGTGTTCTGTCATTAGTCATTAGCTGCTGTGGTGTTCTGTCATTAGTTGTTGGCTGCTGCAGTGTTCTGTCATTAGCTGTTAGCTGCTGTGTAGTGTTCTGTCATTAGTCGTTGGCTGCTGCAGTGTTCTGTCATTAGCTGTTAGCTGCTGTAGTGTTCTGTCATAAGCTGTTAGCTGCTGCAATGTTCTGTCATTAGCTGTTAGCTGCTGTAGTGTTCTGTCATTAGCCATTAGCTGCTGCAGTGTTCTGTCATTAGCTGTTAGCTGCTGTAGTGTTCTGTCATTAGCCGTTAGCTGCTGTAGTGTTCTGTCATTAGCTGTTAGCTGCTGTAGTGTTCTGTCATTAGCCGTTAGCTGCTGTAGTGTTCTGTCATTAGCTGTTAGCTGCTGTAGTGTTCTGTCTAGAGGAGAAAATCATCTCTGTTTGTTTATTAAACAGTCAGTAAAATATGAGATCAGCAATCAGGTGTGTAATATTTAATTTGTTCTGTTATGGTTATTTTAACTGGAGTGGTGGTATCAGTGGTGTGTGTGTGTGTGTGTGTGTGTGTGTGTACCTGTTCGCTGTAAGGCCACAGGTCGATACTGAGCGGGAAACTGTAGCTGCTTGTCTCTTTGTAGCGTTCACATTTCTCATAATCAAAACTGAATCTCAGTAAAGACACGGTGAGAAACGGAGGGAGCTTCCTCAGCTTAGCACACTAAACACACGCACGCAAACACACACACACACACACACAATATAAGATTCATTTTTTAGCAATGTTGAGAAATTTCATATAATAGTCGATCACAGAAGACAACATCGTTTCTTCAGTTTTAGCTCTGGAGCTGTGAGGCTAACGTAGCTAACACAGTAACAGCGGTTTATATCCCACTAAGTAGCACAGCGCTAACACGTTTAAATCATCAAAGCATGTGGAGCTGCTCAGTGATCTCTAACAGACCTTCCTCACTGTCACTGCACTGTCACATCCCAAAACAAAATAATAGTCTGAACTGCGGGGAATCTGACTGAGGCAATTGCATTGGAACAGGAGCTGTGTTACAGAACCTTCCTCTCTTTTAGTCCTAAGTTAAGATCTGACAAGATACATTTTTCACAACTTCATATTACAGAAGCTAATCTCATCTTAATTTAGGAATTACCTCCAGTTAGGAAATCTTAACCTACTCGATCGAAGTCGATAATCAGATGTCATGTCTGTTTCCTTGCAAACAACCATACATACACAGCTGAAACGTAAAAATATAATCAAAATAATGTTACAGCTGCTGTTAATGATGTAAAAAAGGTCAAAACAAAACTAACGTGCGATAAACTGTAAGTTGTGAATATTGTGAGAGCGCCCTCTGCTGTTTATCAGAGCGTCACCACTCCCCAGTTTCAGTCTCCATTTCCCGAACGCTTTAGCCGAGCGCGCTAACGTTATTCCTCCTAATAAACAGACACACGTTCAGCTCTACCTCCTCATTATTCACCACCATCACTGTATATATTTTGTCATTAACATTAACACACAAAGGTAATAAGAGGGGACAGTGGAGATCGTGTCTGCAGTGTCTGAGATTTTTAAAACGCAGAGCTAAAAGAGAAAAACACCTCACAAGTGAAAGCAGCGTTTTACAGTTTAAAATAATGTAGCATCATAGTGAACTATGCTGCCTGACACAGCTGCCTAAAACAACAGAAACAGACGCTTATGAGTCAGCCCACGTTCACTCTCCAGTTCAATCTTATCCTCTTTTTTGATCGACCTGATTATGTGGTTTCTGACACTATATGAAACGCTGTTGTCCACAAACACTGTGAATGACTGTAATATCTGACTGCGCGCTGTAACCTCTGACCTTCGTGGCGTGGACGAGCCGTTCACAGCGACTGCAGCGGTACAGATTATTCCCCTCAAACACTTCCTCCTCAATAAACATGCTCCACAGCGCCTCCTCCAGGCCACTCACACCGCGCACACACACCGTCAGGTCCAGGAAATCTTCCTGTTAATTAAATGTTAATTAAATGTTAATTTCAACAAAATTATACATACACACATACACACACACACACAGTGGTAACACACACCTGTCTCTCGCTGACATTGTTACACTCCTTGCAGGTGATCTGGTTGACCAGCGTTCCGTGGTAAAGCTGCTGGATCAGAGCGCTGCCAGACGTGCCAATCAAAGAAGATTCCAGAGCACTAAACAGAATCCTGTTCAACTCCTGAACATCATGCTGACTCATTTCCTGCAGAGAGAGAGAGAGAGAGAGAGAGAGAGAGAGGGATAAAAAGAGATGTTCTGTGCAGCAACTAGGAAAGGCTGAGAGAGGAAAGGTGAACAAACAGAAAACCCTCACCGACCAGACTCATTACAACCAGGATGATCCCACTAGACTCATTACAACCAGGATGATCCCACTAGACTCATTACAACTAGGATGATCCACCGGACCCATTATGACCAAGATGAGCCGACCGGCCCCATTATGACCAGGATGATCCGACCAGACTCATTACGACCAGGATGATCCCACCGGACTCATTACGACCAGGAGGATCCCACTGGACTCATTACGACCAGGAGGATCCAACCAGACTCATTACGACCAGGACAACCTGACTGCCCATGTTATGACCGGGAAGATCCGAGCGGACCCATTACAACCAGGATGATCCAACTGGGCCCACTGCGACCAAGATGATCCCACTGGACTCAATGCGACCAGGGTGATCCCACCAGACTCATTACGACCAGGAGGATCTGTCCAGCCCCATTACTACCAGGAAGATCCAACCGGCCCCATGATGACCAGGAGGATCCGACCAGACTTGCACAACCAGGAGGATCCCACCAGACGCATTATGACCAGGATAATCTGACCGGACTCATTACAACCAGGAGGATCCCACAGGACTCATTACAACCAGGAGGACCCAACAAGACTCATTATGACCAGAAGGACCCAACCAGACTCATTACGACCAGGAGGATTCCACTAGACCAGAGGTCTTTAATTAAAATTCAATAAGGTCCAGTCAAAGAAAATTTCCTCAAGCAAAGGTCCGGAACATCATAATGTCTAACTTGCATTATGATTCAGTGCCATATATTGTATACTGAAGTAGCCTAATAGGTATATCAACATGTTATGTAGTCAACAACTGAATGTCGAATCAAATAAAGGACAATTCAGTAAAATTTCAACAATATTTATTGTCAGTTTTCTCTTTTTAGAGCACACCATGTGAAATAATCTGGCTCACTTGCTTCTCCAACTGCTCGTCCCTCCCCTGTGTGTGCTTCACCCACTCGAGTCTCAGTGCTCCACATAATGGACAGATCTGATTGGCTAAGTAGCATAACGTGTGATTTTTACAACGCATGCAATTGGTCTGTGAGTTTCCCGGGCCGCTAAAGACGTACCGTAAATGCTAGAAAAATTACGCCAATTAAAAAAGGACCACCCGGTTGAAATGAAATAATTCTCCTTAGGTCCGCCTAGGTCCGCACAGGACAGAGCATGGGTCCAGACTTGGACCGCAGTCTGCCTATTAGTGACCTCTGCACTAGACTCATTACGACCAGGATGACCCGACTGGCCCCATTATAACCAGGAGGAACTCAAACTGATACCCTACAGCTTCCCCCAAACACTGCAGTCCCCCTACACCCTTAAGCACCCCCTGAACCCTGCAGCCCCCCCACAACCTGCAGTCCCCCCACAGGTTAGTGTAAGTACCTCATGGTTTGTCCAGCCGAAGCTGTCGGTCAACGCGGTTGTTGAAGCTGTTTGTTCGTCCAGCAGCAGCAGCCGAGCAAACAGCCTCTGCAGCTCCAGAGGAATAATACGTACCTGCGTGCGCACGCACACACACACACACACACACACACACACACACACACACACACATATAAACACACTCTTTACTTCTAAGATTTTGAAAAAACACTGTTGCCTCCCAGCACTGTTATGTTTTTAAGTACCACAACTAGCATGATTTTTTCAGTCTAATTTTGGGAAACATTACAGCGCAGAGTCAGCGGGAGTTAGGGCGGTCAGTAATTTAGTCCTCAGACTGTGAAGTCTCTTTTCTGGTGCTACTGAATTTGAGAGCAGTTTTTGACATAGCTGACTAAGATACTGCAATAAACAGACTTAAAAAACACGCTTTAGACAGAAAAATTCTTGCCTGGTTTGGATCTAAATTGACAGACAGCTTCCAATTTGTCAGTTGAAATGTGGAGTTTTCTTTAAAGAGGAAAGCAATATGGTGTCCCACAAGGCTCTGTTTTAGGGCCCTTATAGTTCTCACTCTGATTAAACTTCTGTTATGTGTTTCTGGCTGGTTGCTCTGCTGTCTCTCCAAATCAGCTCTAGTTCAGAATGCAGCAACCCGTGAAGAGTGTATTACTGCGCTCTTATTCAGTTTACAGTGACTTCCTGCTCTTACAAGCTTCTTGGTTATGAGATTTAAAGATCTTAATGTTGAAGCTGCAGATCTTCCTGATCTTCCTCATCTGCTAAAGCGTTATTGCTGGCCAGATCACTTCATTCAGCTGAAGCTGCTCACTGCAAACTTTGAACATCTGTCTGTTGCCTGTGGAAGATCATTTTCTTATAGAGCTTCTAAAATCTGGAACAGCATTCTAGAGAAAATTAGGAACACAAGCTAAACAGGAGTTTTTAAATCTGGGGCCTGTTTGTAATTGTGCTGTTATTTTCATTTAGAGTGCTGTGTTTTCAACTTTACATTATTCTCTACTTGCCCCACAAACTCAATAAAACAGCACTTCACATTTACTCAGACGCACCTCAGTGTCCACTCCATCCTCCCCAACGACCCCGAGCTCCTGTGGCTCCAGACTGAACAGCTGCTCTGTGAACACACAGGTGAATCAGAGCAGGTCAGTCTGTGCAGGCGAGTCAATGCATGCAGATCAGTGCAAGTCAGTCAGTGTAGGTGAGTCAGAGCAGGTCAGTAACAGCAGGCAAGTCAGAACAGGTGAGTTTATTCCGTTAAGCTGAGTTTCCCACAGCCGGATTTCTCAGTTAGCCGGAGAACTTGAGCTAAAAGTGAAGCCTGAACAGGAGAACTGGTTCCAACTGGACAGTCCTCACTTCGGGCTAAACTGGTCCAGCAGCGGTGCACTTACCAAATCAAATAATTTACTGAGTCAGTGAATACGAGCCCTGTATTTAAGAGCTGTTATTGTAACCGGTCACACACATCTGCTGTTTGGTAATATCTGAAGAGGTTTCAGGAGAGCTGTCTGTCATGAGAGATTGTCTGCGCACGTCAGTCCAACACGCTAATCTGTCTGTTTCTGATTAGTGTGTTTATAAACAATCTTTGTTTAATAAAATGAGCTCTGAGCCAACTCACCTGTAAAGTCATGAGAATCATAAGTGTCTTTAAAGTCTGTGATTGGTGCGCTCCTATAATCCGTCTGAACTGAGAATTCCTGCTTTGTGGAGGTGACCTCACTCACCCCTGAACTCCGGCGTGAGCAGCAGCGTCTGCAGTAGAGCGTTCAGGTAGCAGGTTCCTCCCTGGTTCCGGATCCCGCTCAGCCGGACGGGTCCCCTGGGGGGTGGTGGCTCGCGCTCCTTACCTCCACCTGCATGCACCCCTGCCGACACACCTGAGTCCCCAAGACCCTCCCCCTCCTGCTCAAACAGATCACCAAACATTCTCTTGGTGTATCGCTGTGTTTCTCCTCCGTTATCTCTCCAGCAGCCGCTCAGCAACAGCGACACTCCACCTTCGGTCAGCAATGTCCGCCACACAGGTCATCCTACTGACATTATAAACAAATAACGAAAACATCCACACACAGGGGTCGGATTGTAAGAAAATAAATGAAGTTGATTGGTGGGTTTAATTAATCGGCAGTGTAGACAGTGACCATGAACTACAGCTAAACTTACTTTTGAACAGTTCAAGCACGAAAAAATATTTTCAGAAATCTCTCACCTTCTACTGTACTTACACTCTCCATCTGTTTATACAAAACAAAGTTCTATATTTTCTCTTATTGTAAACTGATAGATATAAAGAACTCATTTACAAGTGTAAATCTAAAATGTAGATGAAATGAAACATTGAAACATTACATGATATACATTAATGACATTAACCCAAAGCGGATGATGGTTTTATTAAAGGCATGCTCAGTATTTTAATGACTAGGGGGCAATCACTACAAACACCTATATTGATATCAATATAAACACCAATAGCAATGAAAACATAAAACAACATCAATAACAATATAAACACCAACATCAACAGATATGACAATATAAACACCATTAATACCAATACAAATACTAATAACAAAATTAACACCGATATCAATACCAACATAAACACGTCAATACAAATTCAAACACCGACAACATTGTAAACACCAACGTCAATACCGATGCAAAGACCAATAACAATATAAACACCAACGTAAATCCCAAACACCAATAACAATACAAACACAATCAATATCAAAACAAAAACCTACAGTAATATAAACACCAGTATCAATATCAATAACAATATAAACACCAACGTCAATACCAATCACCAATAACAATACAAACACATCAATATCAGCACAAACACCAATAACAATATAAACACCAATGATAATACCAATACAAACACCAATAACAATATAAACACCATCAATCACAATACAAACACCAATAACAATATATATACAATACCAAGGAGGTGTTCCCCAAAGCTGGATCTCTCGGTTAGCCAGATAACCTAATCCCAAAGATGAGGACTGTCCAATAGGAATACCCCTTAGCTCTTTTCTTGATGGACAGTCTTTATCTTTGGTATTAAGTTATCTGGCTAACTAAGCAATTATGCTTTGTGAAACACCACCCCAATCCAAATTTAAACACTAACATCAATATAAACCAAAATATTAATAACAATACTGAACTCTGAGTCAATTCGAGCAGTATGTCAGTATAAGAACTGTTATCAGTATTAGTTTATTAGTGTTAATGTTCGCTTATCAGTGTTAATGTTAGTTTATTTATCTCTTAAATATCCGCGAGTTTAAACTGCATTTAATGAACATTAAATCTACATTAAGTCTAGTCGATTAAAATGCGCTGTAATAAAGTTTTAACTGTATAAACTGCGCTGTAATAAAGTTTAAATCTTACTCCAGATCTTCTTATTTCAGTGTAAAGCCAAATTAAATCTGAGTGTCGCTGCTTTTCAGAGCGCCGCCATATTTACCCCTGCTGAAGGAAACAGCGCCGCGGTGCATTGCGGGAGTTGTAGTTTTATCCGCGGAGCGGGCATTCGCCTTTCGTCACAGAAAAATAAAGTTGTTTTAATATAAGATGGTGCTTTTTGGAAGAAAATAAAGCGAGTTTAAACCAGTAGTGGATAATAACCTCCCCCTAATATTCACCAATATCTGTAAATTCCGTATTTATTTTGTACTAATATTGATGTATTATTGATTACAACAATAAGAGGTCTGAGTCAAACTTTACAAATATTTTAGTGTATAGCTAAATTATACCCCCAAGACCCCTCTAGTTTATTCTAGTTTACTAACAATAGTATGTGTGATAATATTATTAATACTACTAATCATTACCTTAACCTGTCCCTCATTAAATGGGTCTTGTGTTACTCACATTTTAGATTATTCAACACACGTTTATATAATGACAACCACAGTGCATTAATATATCGCATAAATATTGTTTAAGCATTGTGGGAATAGTTTTTCTATTCACTAAAATATAATCAGCAGAGTTACTATGAAGTGCTGTTTTAATTAATCAGATTATTACCGAAACAGTTTATGAACACATTGTACATTTAAACATCTCTGATAATTGAACACTGAGCTCCAAATCAGCGCCGATTCACACAGCGTCCTGCAGTGTTTAATCACTGATAATTACAGCCAGAGCTGTTAATGTGTCATCTGTTCAGGAACTCACTCTGTTCAACAGGAAACTTATCACAGTTTATTTTATTGGTGTTACACTGCAGAGTAACTAATAAACAATAATTTACAATCCAGTCAAATGAATTATTCAATGCTGCACCTTCAGTTCTGTCATAAGAATATAGATTTAATCATTTTAATATTGAGCTCTAACTTAAACATGCAGTTACAGCATTCAGACTGAATAACATCCATAATTTTTACATCTTCATGGAAACGAAGAAAAGACGATTCCGTCCTTCAGTCCAGAAAGAAGACGAAAGAAGTTCAAATGCTGCCTTGGGTTCTCTGAAGTCCTCATGCTGAGAATGACTGAAAGTCCACTGATGTAGGAGCTTCACTTTCTTTTCAGCAAGTCACTCCTTCCTCCATCCATCCCTCCATCCATCTATCCATCCAGTGGGAGAAGGACAGAAACCTGGTTGAGATAAAGTGCTGAGTGAGATGAGGGGTTATAAGGGTAATATAGATTGAGTGGGGGATTTAGAGGTGGTTTGAGGGGGGATTGGAGTGGGGTTTAAAGGGGGTGTGGGGGAGTCTGGGATGGGGTTTGGAGGTGGTTTGAGGGGGTATGGTTGAGTATGAGATCAGAGGCCGAGGGATTTGCGAACGATCTGCTTGGCGAGCCGGTTGAACTGCTCTCGGTCCTCTCGCCACATCTTGGATGCGTCAACGTTCGCTCCACTCTCATCATTCGGCTCTGAAAGGACAAACAGAAACCATTGCTCACAAACCTTCAGCCACAGTCCCATCCATTACCCACAATCCCTCAGTCACAGTCCTAACTGTCCCTACCCAATCTGAACCCCACATGCTCGTCTTTTTGTGAAGTCATATGAGCGGATCAGCGGAGCAGTTCAGGGCATTTAATGCTGAAACCACTACATAAGCAGTCTCACTTTCCTAGTTTAAAAATGCTTATTATTAAATGTCCTCAATTTAGAGCTGGGCGATATGGCCAAATATGTTATCACGATAAACAAAATTCATGTCGTTCAATATCGATACATACCGCGATAAATGTCAAATCATTATTTCTTTCAAGTTTGAAGGCTGATTTTTGGTCCTGGGGGTTTAATTGCTGTTTTAAACTATCCTTTATGGTCTCCAATGCCTCACAGCTTCCTCAGTTTACTTTAGTTTAAATCAGGGCCATAATTTACATGAACCCACTTCTTTCTTTCACTTTCGTTGCCTGGGAATGCACTAATACTTAAATATGACTGTCTGAGCGCTGTAACAGCGCTGTAGTTGTGAGGATTGTGATTGTGATTTAACGCTGCTAAAGCTGGTTAGGATGTTAGGAAAGAGGTGAGTTCGCTGTAGGACAGTATAGTTACACCACTGACCTCGTCACTTACACTCGGTCAAAGGAGAACAGATCGCCGGTCACTCCACTCAAACAGGGGATGTATAACTCTGCATTTCAGCTGTTGCTAAAGACTCATCTTACTTGTGGCCCCCTCCCTCTCTAATCACATAGAAAAACTCGGAAGTGCGCCCTCTCCTGGCGATAGCGGAGTAGTGTTGCTTTCCTTGCAGTAGAAAACGCCACCAAGGCTTTCGCTAGAACGTGGAAGTGTGAGAATGGTGTATTATATCGAACATTTATTGAACATGTCGTATCGCTCTATCGAGGAAAAGTTTTATCGCGATAATTATCGTTATCATTTTATCGCCCAGCCCTACCTCAATTCCTATCAGTTTGGTTTATTATGAGAGCTGAATCTTAAATGGCTTCTCACTTCCTCTATAGTGCAGCACAGGTCCTGAAATCAGGGATTCAACACCAAAACAGTGCACTCAATGTTAGACAAGACGTTGTGCAGCTTTGACTAAACGCAAGTGTTTTTTGGATAGATGATACACTGTTTGTGCGCAGAAGCCTTTACATCTATGTAGTGCGCACAACATAGGGAGAAGGAAGCCATTCGTGATTGAGCCTGTATTTTGCTCATCTCTATTCAAGCTGCACAACACAGGCTAAAAGTGACGTTGTACACAAAGCAAAGCAGCCCGGGTAGATAATCACATCTTAAAGCTCTGTGTTTTCGCTGATATCTGATGCCTGCTATTTTCAGTCCCCCAAAACTTCTGAAATCTGAATTATTTGTCCCATCCTCACCCACAGAGCTCCATCAAGGCAAACTGACTCTAATATCTGACACAGTCTGTTCACAAACACGTAAATAACACAGCAGTCATGGTCATCAGGCTCACTGTGAGTAACTTCACCAAACGCCATTTATTCCCAGTAAACATAAAGCAGGAATTAAACCACAGAGCAGTTATTTTTGGTACTTTGCTGGGCAGCTGTGGCCGTCAGACTAAAGGCTCCGCCATCTCTGTGAGCTACTGAGAATCTGCGCGTTGTTCACGTGATCAGTTTCTGCACAGATCCCATTTGTTTCTCCCACGGTGGCTGTATCGTTCTTATTTACGTGATTAAATCTATAGCTGAGGCTATGTGTGTGTCTGTGTATTAAGAGTGTGTGTGCGTGTGTGTGTGTACCTGCGAGCATGCTGACCACAGACAGGAGGATCTTCTCGACACTCTGTACTGGACTCCATCTCTCAGCACTGCTCTCATAGCCCATCGGGTCGTCACCGGGAGCATGCAGGATCGAAATACACACTCGTCCGTCTGGATAAACTATACACACAAACACATTAAAGTTGAGAGAGAGAGAGAGAGAAATAGAGGAAGAGAGATAATAACAGAGACACAGAGTGAGAAAAAATAGACAGAGAGAGAGAAAAAGAGGATAACGGTGAGAGAGAGAGAGAGAGAGAGAGAGAGAGAGAGAGAGAGGGGAAAATAGAGAGAGAGAGAGAGAGAAAAATAGAGAGAGAGAGAGAGAGGGGAAAATAGAGAGAGAGAGAGAGAGAAAAATAGAGAGAGAGAGAGAGAGAGATAAACTCACTGTTGGGGTGAAACATGTCGCAGGTGAATTTCATCTTGGGAGGGCTGAGGGGGTAATCTGACGGAAAACTGAGAATCGCTGGAAAAACTCCGCCTTCAAAACACGTATCCTCAGGACCCCTGAGACAGAGACAGAGACAGAGACAGAGAGAGAGAGAGAAAAAAAAATCACTGCATGACTGAGCTACCTGGTGCAGATCGAGGTTAGTGCTGCCCCCTGCTGCATCAGACTGAGCACTGGGGACAAACATCACTAAAGTCACCCAATCTGACTCTTTCGACCATTCACAACTATTAAAGCTCTATACCTGAAATACTTACATAATAAGAGCCTCCCACTCAAAGAAGTTCTCTTCATTAACCGGCCCTGCAGGAAACAGACAGATTCACTCCTCAATAAACAAACACTGTTTATATCAAACTCCTCGATATAGTTACAAACTCTCAAAGTGCTTTATACAGGAATATCAGTACTAATACATAAATACTAAGTCTAAATAACAATAACATCACTGAATACGGGTGTGTTTACCTGCCACAATTCCCTCCGGAGGATTCAAAGTCAGCTCTAACACACACACACACATACACACACACAAAGAGTCAGTAAAAAACAGTAAACCATCTATAATACGCACGAGTAACTATCTGACATATATCCTACATAAAATTACTTACAAACTTACACATATAGGTTAACTGTGATGTATTTGTATTCAAGACAATCTTCTCATTCAAAAGCACTTACTAAAACAAGTGATAATAAAGTAAATGAAATTAATCCCCTGCACACAATATCACACATTAGTAAAAATTTTCCGTTCCATCTTAAATGCCTCAGACGCCAGAATGTACCTGCTGCACCATTTAAGGTGGAACGGAAAATTCGAACAAGAAGCTAAATTAAGCTCGGCTTCGTCATTTAGCGAAAACTCTCTATCGTAAAGGCATTTAGACTGTGTTTAAGCGCTCTTAATAACCTAGTTTAATCTGTCGTCTTTTTCTCCATCAGCAAACATTAATAAAAACACTTTTATCACTTTAATAATCATAACAAACCTGGCTAGCTGTGTTATTAGCATCACTGGCTAACGGCTAACCAACTCCCCGCCACTAGCGGCCTAATAAAGCCACAATCTGCGTGTTTTCAACAAACAACACTCACTTAAACCGCTATTACTGATTGTACCATCTTTGCTTACGTTTATATTCAGCCATTAATCTTTTTAAAGCAGTTCCAGCCATCGCGGCCTGTTTACTCTCCACCGGCCTGAAGCTGCAGCGACCGGGCTCACAGGCAGAGGGCGCCACTGGGAGCACCATCGATATCTGAAGAGCAACGCACTAAAGTGCACTACGCCCTCTGCTGTTCATCTATGGTTCACTTAAAAAAAGATTTTCAATGATTCTTTATACTAAACGGAATGGTTCTAGTTAGGACTATGGATTCTATAAAGAACCATTTCATGCTTAACTGGTGAAATGGTTCTACAGATTGATGGAGGATGTGTTGGTTCTATATAGCACCAAAAAGGTTCTGCTATTGTGAAGATGTCAAGCTTGTAACAATAGAACAAGCCTTTTGGGATGTTATATAGAATCATTTTCAAAAAGGTTCCATATAGAAACATATACAATACATTCTCCATTAATTAGGAAAAAAAAACATTTAACTAGTTAAGCATAAAATGGCTCTACATAGAACTCATGGTTCTAAATAGAATTATGCCCTTTGCTAAAGAACCCCTGAAGAACCATCTTATTTAAGTGTGTATTAGTGTACTGTCATGAGTGTTTTTTCATGTTTAAGTAACTAAGCATGACTACAACACAAATATAGACATTTTATTTGCTATCCAAAACCATCAGTAAACCTACATGTGTCTTCTGAGTTTTCTTTGGGAACTATTTTGCCTCACAGCACCCTGCATGTATCCCTTCACCTTGAATGGATTTTAAGTTCTCAAAACTATCGTAAAACAATGTCTCGGACATCAGGCAGTGTATTCATAACCATTTTCAACTTTCTGTGAGAAGCGTTTAGAAGTGGACGTCTGGTTCCTATCACCACCACTGTGAGATATACATACCATAGATATATCTATGGGCCCGGTATATGATTGTAGTACAGTGATGTCTATGGTACCGCGCTGCCTTTAGCGCACTCTGCTGGACACTGTGACACTAACAGCACCGCCTCCATGGCGACGGTTACAGAGTTAAAGTGCGGTGAGTTTTATTTAACTATTTACTAATAAATCACCATCTGAATAATAATTACTTGTGAATTAGCTGGTTTATGAGTTGGAAGCGTGTGTCAGAAGTTGTAACGTTTTCTAAATGATTTTTAAAGCAGTGAGAGTGGAGTTCAGCGTTAGCTTTAGCACACTGAGCCAATGTTAATGTTGGAGCTGCAGAAACACAACTGATTTTTCTGCTAGAGTTTTTTTTTAGGTCAGTTTCATGCGTTTTTTTTTTTAGATATTGAGGAGATGTTAGAGACATGCTGCACAAATTCTCGACTGGTTTATTTTAGTTTCAGCTAAATTTCTGAGTCTTACATTACTGAATATACGCAATATAACAACTTAACCTAAGTTACACACCAGAGTTTCAGATGTCTGGTTTAAAAAAAAAACAACAACCACTTGTCAGAGAAGAGAGAGAACTCACACTGTGTCTCTATAAACTCTGACCTAACAGACTTCACATATTTGAATTATTTTGACCACGATCTTCACTCCAACAGAAACGGTCATTTTTCTACTATATAACCTTCACTGACTGGGTTTATCCAGTCGTCCACTGTGGGGGGATCAGGACTCAGCCAGCGGCTTATTAACTACAAGCAGTTAATAGAGCCATAAATATTTGTCAGATTTTGTTACGTCAAAATTTATCACGTCCAGGATAAAAACTCACAGAAAACTGTGTTTTATTAACATTAAAACTGTCTGAAATGTTCAAACTGAGACACTGAACCGTTTCCTGCATCTGAAATCAGTAATAAATCAGCTCCTCCAGATAGATTTAAAATTCAAATTATTATTCTTCATAAGATAAAGTAAAAATGTATAAACTGCACAGAAAAAATAAAGATGTGGATTTTTATTTGTTTATATTGGGACTTTATTTGCATATTTGAGTAGAGAATGACCGTTTGTGTTTCTCCTGTTAAGATATGTTTTAACCCTTTACTGGAGTGTTTTAACCATTAACCATTGCTCCACCTGTTTTTCCCCGGTTTGTATTGTAATATTTTATACTAATGCTGTTTGCTATCCGGTGTCGACCAGAGGAGGATGGGTTCCCCTTTTGAGTCTTGGTTCCTCTCAAGGTTTCTTCCTCTTGCTCTTAGGGAGTTTTTCCTTGCCACTGTCGACATTGGCTTGCTTGGACCCGGATTTTTCTGTAAAGCTGCTTTGTGACAACACCTGTTGTAAAAAGCGCTATAAAAATAAACTTTGACTTTTGTTTTTGACATGTATTGTGAACAAAGAGCTCTGCTGTGTTGTTCTTCTGCAGCCTTGCGGGAGGCGCTGGAGTCTCGGGGTGTTTTGGGGCAGCTGAAGGCTCGGATTCGGGCTGAGGTGTTTCAGGCGCTGGACGATCAGAGCGAAACTCGACCCCCACTGACCCACCAGAACCTGCTGATTAACGAGCTGATCAGAGAATATCTGGAGTTCAACAAGTATCGATACACAGCGTCGGTTCTGACTGCAGGTGAGCCGACATGACTTAAGCTCTGTTTGACCAGCAAGCATGAAACGGCACGTTTCACACAGCACGATATGAACCACAGCATTTCTCTCCTGATACGCTGAGATTCTGAACTGTTGGCCGATACTGAGCACTGATCTCAGTTAACAATAATAATAATAATCTTTATATATAGAGCACTCTTCATAGCAGTGGCAGCTCAGAGTGCTTTACAGACAGCTGATAAAGCTTAACAGTAACAGAAGAAGCTAAGTATTAATTTAAAATTATATAAGACAATAACACGGATCAGATTAAACAGATGAACACCAAAGAGACATAGAGTTTTAATGAAGCGCTGAGTCTCTCCACATTTTCTGTATTTTACGGAAGGTGTTTGCAGAAGGTCAGTATCTGCAGATTGAAGATCATAAACAGACAGACATGTAGGAGCTTTAAGGTCATTTAGAGCTTTAAAACCAGCAGCAGCGCTTTAAAATCTTTCCTAAAAGATCCAGAATCTGATCAGTATCTGCATCGATACCACCCCAGTGGATCACTAAGGATCCATTACAGTAATGATAATATCATCATACTGCTCAGCTGTGGTTCTCACTGCTGTTCCCTCAGTTCTGAAGACGGTTCCACTACAGGTGATGAAACAGAACCAACTTTACTCACAGTTTAATTACACCTGTAAAAGCTTTTTAGCAGACCTTAAGAGTTAAATACAGTTTATGAAATACAGCTTATTGAATGCATTACATTAAATGCACTATATTAAATTAAATTTATTAAATACAGTGTACTAAACACAGCTTATTAAATGAAGTGTATTAAATACAGATTATTTATTAGTTTATTTAATGCAGTGTACTATATATAGTGTATTAAATACAGTTCATTATATGCAATGTATTAAATACAGTGTGCTAAATACAGTTTATTAAAGACAGTTTATTGAACACAGTGTATTAAATAGAGAGTGTTTGTGTGTTTCTCATGTTGACTATGTGTCAGAATCAGGTCAGCCTGAAGCTCGCCTGGACCGTCAGTTTCTAGTGAGTGAGCTGAATGTCGTAGAAGATCCGAGTGCCAGAGCTGTGTAAGTGATTCAGACTGTATTTAGTTCTGTTAAACTGCATTTAAACACATTCAGGTAAATGTTACTGCAGGAGTGCAGATCTGTGACCTCATGACTATTTTTCTATGATTCTTTATGATACATATCACGGAATCATTTTCAGAGCAACTCTATTGGATCATTTGTGAATTATTGTTAGCAACACACTGAATACACATATCTAACTGAAGCAGCTGTTCACACAGCACTGAAACACTATATATACAATAACAACTCTTTATGTATTTGGACTTTTACCTTTGAAAATAGTCTAAAGATTGTCTGTTGACCAAAATGTAAGTGTGTAATTTATTGGGTATTATTATGATCTGTGATAATTGCTTGTAAAGCAGCATTCAGTGTTACAGCAGGGAGGTTCTGCGAGCGTCTTAGTGATTCACTGCTAACAGAGTATATATCTAAAACCTGGTTTCTGTATTTCAGCTTCTCCTGAATCATAAAGTAATCAGTTAGACGTGTGTGTGTTTAAGTTCCTCTGATGGTGGATTGCTATGTTCTAGATCAGTTCTGCTCTACAGAACCAAAGCAGTTTGTTCTCCATGTTCAGACTGAATCAGCTTTCAACTCATTCAAAGTGTTTTAATCGATTTTGTGTGTGTGTGTGTTTCAGTCCTCTGCTGTACGGCCTGCTCTCACACTTCCTCAGTGGCAGAGACGGAGGAACGTTTTTAATCAGAAACCCCCCGGAGCCCCACCGGCCCGCCGACGGGGAACAGGAAAGTTTATAAACTCTCAGGTTAACGAGAACCTTCACAGCTTTGAATCTTCTGCCTGTTTGATCCTCAGTAATGAAGAAGATTCTCTAATGAATAAAACTTCCTGCAGGTGTTCTAGATCAGGAGAATGTCACATGACCAGCGTTCAGTGATGAATGTTTACATGCTGAAGTGGCCAAAACTCCATTTGAGGAGTTACTAGTTTAGCTTGTTGTGTTTCTGTGTTTTAGAGCTGATGGAGTCTCTCTGTGAGGTTAGACTCACTGTTGATTAATGTGTGAAGAATAATAATATTTTTTTTTAACGTTTTTAATCCTTTTAACTTTTATAGGTATTAAAATGCTCCTTTAATGTGAAACAGTGTTGTGTTGTGTTGTTTTTTAAAGGCTGTAAGTGCAGTTTGTGGCCACAGGGGGGCGATAGGTAGCTGAAGGAATTTGACTTAGACTTTAATGCAAATCCACCTTAAATATGGGTGGATATTTATATTAAAGCATAATTAAATTTACTGCCTGGAATGTTTTGTTCCACATTTCCGAATAACCATGCAGGTTATCAGGTTCCAGGTGAGTGTTAGTTAATGTTCCACTTTGGGAACATTCTGTTCTTTTATTTAAGTGAAAAAGTGGCGCTAAGGCCCAAAAACTTCAAGGGAAACTGGACATAAAATCATTTTATTTCTTATTTAATCTGAGCTGTGACACAGACTTATTAAATCAGCTATGACAGACTTTTACAGACTTTTTTATTTTAATGATAAAGATATTGTTAAAGAAATCCACAGCCTGACTGGCCATCTCAGTTAATGTACACCCTTAAAATAGATGGTTCTTCAAGGGTTCTTTAGTAAAGACAATAGTTCTGTACTACAAAGTGCACCTATATAATAAGTGGAGCTGATAAAATGGACAATGAGCGTAGAAACAAGGAGGTAGTCATAATGTTATGCCTGATTGGTGTAGAACCAACACATCCTCCATCAGTCTGAAGAACCATTTAATCATGCAAATGGTTCTTTGAGTGTTCATGGTTCTATATAGAACCACTGTCTTTACTAAAGAACCCTTGCAGAGCCATCTTTTTAGGAGTGTATGGGGAAAAAAAATGAAGCCTCACACTTACAGAATCTGAACACTGACTGAATCGTCTCCCACTTAAGGTTGAATCCAGTCTTTTAATCTGCTCTCTGTCTCACACTCTTTGTTGTATTTCTTTCCGAATTTTCCCCATTAAGTCCCTGGCATTGTTAAAAAACTAGCTAAAGAAACTCCATCACTGAGTGTGTTTACATGCACTTAATAATCTGATAAGTGCAGAAAATCAGATTGTGTCAGTAACTGCTTCAGTGTGTTTGCACTTAATAATCTGATTACTGCAGAAAATCAGCTTGTGTCAGTAACTGGTTCAGTGTGTTTGTACTTAATAATCTGACAACTGCAGTAAATCAGATTGTGTCAGTTACTGGTTCAGAGTGTTTTCGTGCTCCTGGGTAATCAGATATTGGGGAAACTCTGGGTCTACATGAGTCAGGCAGTAATCGGATTTGCTTTACAACCTGCCAATAAACCCGCAGAATAAGACGTGATGTAAACGTAACGCAAAACTCAGCGGAAAACATGAACATACATCATTTAGAAGATGAAGAATATTTAAATCCTTCATTTGGTCGAGCATGTAGTTACTTTCAGCGTCGCTCCAAAAGTGTTGCATAGCGTCTCGCGGGTGCTGTGTTAAATGCTGCTTGCTGTTTCCAGGACAGCGCTCTGTTTTTTAACGCGTGTACAGACTGAGAGAAACGAAAGAAATCAGAGTGAGAGTTTACATGCACTGAAAAACCCTATTACTGACTGAAATCTAGCCTTTTAGAATTCTTAATCAGATTTATAGATCTTAATCTGATCTAAGAAATCAGAGTGAGCTGTTTACTTGACCACTTAATAATTAGATAACTGCAGAAATCAGATAATGATCGGATTATTAAGCGCATGTAAACACACTCCGTGGTGTGATTTTGATGTGTGTGTGGAAGGCGAGAAGGGAACAGGGCTGTGGACAGGTTGTGTAACAGGACATACTAGCAGTTTCTCCGTATTAGTCAGGTGTAGTGGGGAGAGAGAGATCAGATCAGCCCAAATAAGCAACTACACTTCAGAAACAAGCCCCAAAAAACACAACCCGCAACGACCAATATTTGTAAGCGACTTTACAGAAAAATAAGCCCAAAAAATATATAATAAGTGGACTTGGCAACTGCGTAATGGAACAGCCTTGAGGGGCAGTGACGCAGGCAGTTAAAGACGGGATTGAAACGGATGTTTGGGCAGGAAAGGCCAGAGAAAATTTAAGAAAGTAAAGGCCAGCGTGATGCGGAGCTCATAGCTGATGCATTATCTTCATTCAGCTCATTCACAGATTTAAGCCGCTTCCTGATTATGGGCGGAGTTTCACTGCAGAACGCGACATTGTTGTTATTTACACAAACTGCTTCCTGTTATTATGTGCAGTTTACTGTGTTATCAGGGATCGTTTGCTTCGGGCTTTTAGCGGTTTGTTTTCTAGTATAATTACTGATAGGGCAGGCGGGGCTGTCACACAGCACGGGGGCCGGACCCCTTAACGTCTTTATTGGACCACTTGTGCGGAGGGAAAGATCAAAACAGCGCCATCTGCTGGATGTGGTCAAAACGAATCGTCGAATCATCGTTCGTTTCTCCACAGGGTAATAATGAATAACAGAGTAAAAATCACTTAAAGCTGGAATTTTGGTGAAACAGTCGATTTGCGGCTGTACAAACACACCAGCTAATAATACAGTAACATACACAATACTGAGTGGTATAATGTCAAATATAACTGAATATGGGGCAGCACGGCGTGTTATGTTGTGTAGTCTGTAACTCATTCATCATTAACCTATGATTTGAGCACACACAGCAGGGGGCGCTCTGACCACCTTCCTTCCCTGTAGAGCTGAACAAAAAACCCTTCCCTTTCAGTGATTATAAGAGATAAGATAAGATAAGATAAGATAAGATAAAGGATAAAATCCTTTATTAATCCCACAACGGGGAAATTTGCGGTGTTACAGCAGCACAGAAGACAGAGCAGCAGGAAATATACAAACAATATATAAAATAGAATAAACAATAAAACTATAAAATAATTTAATAATATAAAATATAAAATAATATAAATAATATAAAATAATAATATAAAATAAACTGACTGTTAAACCTTTTAATAATGAAATTCAAAAATTATACGTAAAAAAAAAACAGTAAAGAGAAATTACACGATTGCAAAAGTTGGTGGAAAACAGTGAAAGAGATTGGTCGACACCATTTGCAGTGCATTGTGGGATATGTAGTTAATTCTGACATTAAACATGTTAAGTACACAGTCTTGTACTTTTGTCTTTTTTGTTTTTCAAATCTTTCATTGGTCCGATTTCATTTTTTATAATATCATGATTGATCTCATAGCTGATTTGTTAAGCAATAAAACTTTATATGAGGATTTTTTTAAAATGTCTGTGCAGAAAATAAATGGGATTTACAATCCAGAACCAGAGTCGCTGAAAAAGTGGCAGTCACTGTTCAGCTTTACAGGTTTTGGGACTTAACGTCACACTATGCTGCATTATGGGATTGTTCCGCCATATTGGCAGGGTTAGTTCCCTGTTTACCTACTATCAGGGATGGGAGAGTAGCTAAGCAGCACGCTACTTTTTGTAGCCAACTACATTTTTTGTAGCTAATAGCTGTAGCTGCTACAATTTTACTAGTAGGCTTAGCTCAGGGGTTGGCAACCAAAATGCTAAGAACAGCCATTCTGTCCTTTCAACAAAAATGAAACCACCTTGGGAGCCACTACCATGTTATGTTTACCATCATGGCTGTAAATAAGTCTCAGTATGTGCTAATGTGCTAGTACAGGCTAAACATATAATATAAACGCAAACACAGACTTGCTTTGCTCTGCTTTAAGCTTTAGCCCAGCTGTGGCCGCTTTTCTCCCACCACAGTCAGGAAACTTTTCCACAAGTTTCTTGTAAAATGTCTCTCAACATTAGACTTTTTATGAGGCTGAAGTTGCTTCTCTTTCGAATTGTCCTGTTCCACCTTGAATGGTGCCTGAGGCGTCAGAGTGCACTGCTGCACCGTTTAAGGTGGAATGGGAAAATTTGAACAAGAAGCTGGCGAATGAGAAGCTGACTTCAGCTTCACGAGTTGTTGCAGATTAAGCATATGAGTAAACTAGCTGAGCGCTTATAACTGCAAATAAGTCCATTCATCTCCAAATTATCGATGTTCATCTTAAATCTCTCTCTTTGCTATTTCGTTGTCTGCATTGCTGTGTGACTGCGCGTCAGTCTTCAGCGTTAAAGGTTGGTGAATTAGCAGTTATACATTAACTCCAGCGTTTAAGACCATTTATTGTGAAAACTGTATTAGAACTGTGTGTTATAACGATTTTACAGTTACAACGATTTTTTGTGGAGAGATTATACAGGCCTGATTCTCACCCCAAACAGAGCCAGGGTCACTGATGAGAATTTTGAGGCTAACGTGTTGCTGAAGTTTAAAGGACTCTAAATGTCATGTCTGTACATATCTTGCTGAAATGTTTAAATTAGAGCAGTTTCATTTCAACAGTTGACAGTGCTTTACACAAAATTGTTTGGTTTGTATCTGGTTATTTGATGATTTTTGTTAGGAAAACCTGGAATGATTGGCCTTGCCTTTACTTAGTCTAAATTTTTGTTGGATATTTATGCCTTTGGTTGTGTAAGTTTGATTGTTGGTTACACTTAAATTCACTTTTTGGTGATCTTTTTGTATATTTGCAGCTTTTCAATTGTATGTTTCTTTCTGGCACATGATTAAAGCAGTGTCTTTTTCGCAGTTGGCCTTGTTTGTTGTGTCAGGTGGAGATTCACAAACATTCTGACAGTCGTACTTTGAAAGTAGCTAAAAAGTAGTGCGCTACTTTTCAAACAGTAGCTAAAAAGTAGCCACTACTTTTTCTGGAAAAGTAGCTAAATTGTAGCTAGCTACAAATTTTGGGAAAGTAGCTACAAAGTAGCTAACTACTAATTTTTCAGTAGCTATCCCAACCCTGCCTACTACGAAAGCCTGACGATTGCTGCCTTACTGTGTTTTTTCAGGCCTGTCCTTATTAAAAATAAGTTAAATAAAAAGTTTATGTACAACCCCATTTCCAAAAAGTTGGGATGCTGTGCAAAATGTAAATAAAAACAGAATGGAATGACATGCAAATTGTGTAAACCATATTTTTAAAGGAAA